GCAGTCTGATCAGGATCCATGCTGTTCATTTACCAACCCTATAACAAGTACAGAAACTGATAGCGAACAGCATGGATCCTGATCAGACTGCGTGGATGCACAGGCTGGTCTGGATCCATGCTAGTCGCAAACGCACTATGTTGGTTTTGTTATGACGCGGCTCATTAATGTTTGTAACTTAAAATACCCAGGTATGATGTTTTTAATTTTAGTTATATAATTATGAATATTAAATATGTTTCTGGTTGAATGCTTGTATTGTCATCCTGGACAAAAAGTCTTAAAGAAACTCTCGCCCCCTTAAGTCAGTTACAAATGTACCTTACAAATATTTCGTGATACATGTGTATTATATTTGTTAATTTGTTTTTCTGGGTTTTTTTTATGCCAATTTTAACACATCCACAGCCAATCAGTGGTCTACATGGTCAGTTTTTAAGCTTTTTATGCTAGTAGGTAAAACAAATCACTGAATCATTTATTGCAAGTCATAACATAATTCAATTTGCATGGTTTTTTGCGAACTCAAAGACCTTTTACTATATTAATTCCGTCCACAGTATCATTTATTGCAAGCGTGTTTAATTCAACTTGTTTCATTTCTTCTGGGCATAGGAAGTAGATATGTTTATCCACTGAACTTGATTTCCAATTCAACTAAAAATATCAAACATGTGTTAAGTGTTATCTCTCTTAAAGAAACAATCTTAAGATTGAATGAATCTAGATAAAAGTTAAACCTGCTGGTAATCAGCTGGGACAGGGCAAGCACTTTCAAACATGTCATGTATTCATTCTCATGCATGAAGCAGTTTTTGCTAATCAATAGGTAAACAAATCAATTTGCCATAAATAATGAAAAGTACCAGGGAATGTGAAACCTGGGGAAATGGAGGAGATAACAGCCATGTTACATTTTAAAGAACAATAAAACAAATTATTTGTTTTTTGTGCTATACTGTGTACATAAATGTAAAAAAAACATTCAATGTTAAGATTAACTATGTATGTTTTACATGATTCCTTTGCAGACACATAACCTAGCTAGCTATTCAATATCAGCTGTTATTTGTGCAATGCAAAAGTAAGCAGCCTATCATCACTGTATGTGCTTGGCCCTTAATTTGTGATACTGGCCTGTCAAGTCACAACACTAATGAATTTGGTTCTTTTCTTGCTATATTGGCCTGTCATCACCTTGTTAGTTTGTGATATTGACCAGTTGTCACTGTAATATCCTGTGATATTGGCCTGTCATCACTGTAAAAAGTGCAGTTTCAAATTTTAGTGTTTTTGGCAATGAAAAGTAAGGCCTATCATCAAAATGTATTGGGTTTCCCTTAATTTGGTTTATATGGCCTGTCATCACAAATTGAATTTGGTTCTTTTTGTAAATTGGCCCGTCATCACCTTTTTAGTTTGTATATTGCGTTTCACTGTAAATTGTGAATTGGCCCGTCATCACTGTAAGATTTTTGAAATTCCGTTTCACTGTTTTAAATGTGATTGCCTTTTTTACGTTGTTTGATATTGGGTACATCACTGAAAAGTTTGTGTTTTGGCCCGTTGTCTCTGCAATAGCTCATGATATTGGCCTGTTATCACTGTAAGAAAGTGTGATATTTGCCAGCTGTCACTGTCAGAGTTTGTGAAATTGGCCTGTCATCACTGTTAGAGTTTGTGATATTAGCCTGTCATCACTGTAAGAGAGTTTGTGATATTTGTCAGTTGTCACTGTCATAGCTTGTGAAATTGGCCTGTCATCATTGTAAGAGTTTTGCGATATTGGTCTGTCATCATTGTAAGAGTTTGTGATATTAGCCTGTCATCACTGTAAGAGTTTGTGTATTTAGCTGTCATCACTGTAAGAGTTTGTGATATTTGTCAGTTGTCACTGTCATAGCTTGTGAAATTGGAAATTGGCCTGTCTCATTGTAAGAGTTGCGATATTGGCCTGTCATCATTGTAAGAGTTTGTGATATTTAGCCTGTCATCACTGTTAGAGTTTGTGAATATTAGCCTGTCATCACTGTAAGAGTTTGTGATATTAGCCTGTCATCACTGTAAGAGTTTGTGATATTAGCCTGTCATCACTGTAAGAGTTTGTGATATTTGTCAGTTGTCACTGTCATAGCTTGTGATATTGGCCTGTCATCATTGTAAGAGTTTGCGATATTGGCCTGTCATCATTGTAAGAGTTTGTGATATTAGCCTGTCATCACTGTAAGAGTTTGTGATATTAGCCTGTCATCACTGTAAGAGTTTGTGATATTTGTCAGTTGTCACTGTCATAGCTTGTGATATTGGCCTGTCATCATTGTAAGAGTTTGTGATATTTGCCTGTCATCACTGTAAGAGTTTGTGATATTAGCCTGACATCACTGTAAGAGTTTGTGATATTTGTCAGTGTCATACCTTGTGATATTGACTTGTCATCTTTGTGAGAGTTTGTGATATTGGCCAGTTGTCACTGTGAGAGTTTGTGAAATTGGCCAGTTGTCACTGTTATAGTTGAGATATTGGCTTGTCATCAGCTTGTCTTGATACTTGTGATATTGGCCTGTTAAATAGCATTGAGCATAGTGCTATAGTTGTAACATTGGATGATCATCACAGTATTTAATTATTAAAGGTCCCACATTTTAAACCAAACAGTCAGTCCTGTCTAACTGTTTTAATGGCAGTATGAAATGCATGGGGCTTAGAACCTTAGGCATATAATTTCAAAACCAACTTTGGAATTCCATTTAAAGTACAAATTTAATGCTTTAAATACTGGTAATTAGATTCTCAGTGTTTTTGATGATTTATACGATATATAAAGATTATCAGCACTGGTATAGACATCAGGTATATTTGTTTTGTTTAAAGTAAATGTATACCAGTATTTCGCTAAAACAACTTTAACAAATTTTTGATACTCAGGGGCATTATAAATGTATAAAACTAATATTTTTGTTTCAATGTCCTCATGCAGTTAAATCAGTTATTTATTTATTTACATTCCAAATTACAAGTGTTTACAAGTGACACAGTAAACAAAATCTAGATAATGGAAGTGGCCTTAATATTTCAAAATTTAAAAGGACACACTATTAATTTTTTCAAAAAATCTATATATAGCAATGCTCATGAAAAAAAAAAAACAACCTAGATCTAGTTTAGTTTTCAAGAAATACATAAATAATAATCACATGATTTTAATCTTTCTTTACTTTTGTCTAAATGTCAGTATGAGATTCAATTTTCAAAAAAAATAAAAATAAATAAAAATACATGCCAAACTGAAGTTTTTAAAGCTACTTGTTCAAAGATAGAGTTAACTTTATAATATGACAATAATGAAAATTTTCTGATGTATTTGGTTTTTGGATGACAGTTACAAAAACTCAGTTGAATTACAAATGAATGATAGTGACCTCTGATGACCTTGAATGCTTTATTTCAGGTAAGGATATGTATATATATACTCCAGTGCAGATGCATCTCAGTGCATTACTTCTTGCACAAGATATTTGAACCAATATATTATGACCTTAGATGTTTCTCACAGACATTTGATTAGTTTGTCTTCCTAATAAAGTTTAAATTATCATAAAATTATCTCCCATAGATCATCAAAAACAAAATTACTATCCAGCACCATTTTATTAATATGTATGTGATATACAATAAATAGTAAATGGGTGCTGGATAGTAATTTGGTTCTTATTTATATATGATGATCAACAGAAGATGTTTTTATGATAATTTTATGATAATTTTACCATTATTGTCAAGATAAATTAGCTGAATGTCTGTAATTACTTGAGCTATTTATGTAGGTACATGAGTGACACCTGCAAGTGCAATATCTCAGATTCATGCAGGTACAACCTCAATAATGCCTCAAAATGACCTTTGATGTTTCTCACAGCATTAATTAATGGACGTTTTTATATATATTATGTCTACAAAGGTAACCTCAGATACATGCATTTTTTTCACAGAACTGTATACTGTTTACTGCATTCTGAACAAAACATTTTCAGGAAATGATTTACTCCATAAGTAACTTAAAGGTTTTCCATTACCTCAAAAACATTTGCATAAGCTAGGCATTGTTCAAAAAAAAATTATTTTTTTTTTAAAGTGCAAAATTAGTAAGACTTTTATCTCAGAAATGTGACAAAACAGCTTTAACTTTAAAAAAAAGTTTGCTATTAAGAAACGCAAGTAAATAAGGAAGTACATTTTGTAAACTTATGCATTCATATAACAATTATAATTATTACAAAAGCGTTTTTTTTTTTACTTCATTGTAGGGTGTCTCTTAATATCAGATCAAAAGAAATTTGATCCTGTATTTTCAATAAATGCAAAAATCCAAAACAGGCACAGGTTTTTGTGTATGAATTCCTATCTCAAATTCTTCAAATTTTCACATTTTAAGAAGTTTAACAGCAACAGAAAAATTATTACACCTAAACACAAGTTGTCTGAAAATCAAAGTTAGCTTGCTTCTTTTGGGTAAAATAATATTTCAAGACATCAAAAACATCTACAACATGCATTTAACTTCTTTGCTTCAAGAAAAGCATAATACATGCAAGGTTTGGTATACAGTGCACACATTTCAGCAATCATCTGATAACATGAAAAAATTGATATAGAATGAACAAACCACAGTTAAACCACACTCAAATAGGTGGACAAACCCCACTAATTTAATAGGTGGACAAAACCACGCAACTTAATTTATGATGGACAACATGTTTATAACATGCACAATAGTAATAATTTTGTGCACAAATTTGTTAACCATTCATGCACAATTTTGTTATACACTCATGCACAAATTTCTAATACACTCATGCACAAATTTGTGATACAGTCATGCACAATATTTAGATACACATTCCTACTACAGTCATGCATCATTTTTGTATATAAACAAGCACAATATATAGATGACTACTATATTCATGAACAGCTACCAGTACTAAGATATTCTAGCTTACTGTATAAGTCATGTGATTATTTTAATCCTCTGCTATTGACTGAAGCTGAAACAATTATTTTAACATTTAAATCATACATCTTACTGTTTACAGGATATCATTTTTTTGTTTTTTACCTCTTTACCTTTCATGACATGGCAAAAAATGTTTGTTTGCAATTTAAGAGTCTTTTTTTCTTTTTCAAGCCTTAATTGGTTAACTGGTAAGGTAATTAAGGGGTGCCTCTCCTTCAAACTGGGCTATATAAAAAGTCCATGAATCAAATTTTTATCAACTCCTTGATGTTTCTTATCACCATAAATTCTAGCCATAAATTCAGTGTGAAAAAAAATTTAAAAAATACAAACACATGAAATTTATCATTTTTGCCTCTGAAGCTCTGCTATTATTTACTGGGTAATACATTCTAAGAATGCTACACTGAATGCCAACAGACCTGTCAGTTAGTAGCTTTGAATCAAGGTAAATTAAAAAAAAAACCCTGTGTACAATTATACCATAAAATTAAAATCAAACATTCTTAGACAAGTCATGCCATTTCAAGTACATGTAGTTAGCATAATCATTAGACACACTTGATATAGCTCATGCATAATTTGAAGCAATCTATAAAAATTGTGCATATAAACAAATATGGTCTGAGTAATATTGTTCATTCATTAAATCAACTCAACCAGTACATGCACATGTATAATTTAAATCTAGGCATTGATACAGGAAAATTTGATGTAGGCTTATCTAAATGACTTTCAAAGAACCTGATGGAGGTATGTATATACCTTAACTGGTAGTTTTATAAATATAAGTAACAAAATGTGTCTTTGGGTGTATCTTGTTAAACCCACTCCTCCCCATTTTTTTACTTATCTAATTTAAGGTCACTTTTGATCTCATAACAAGACAATTTTTTACAAGAGTTTGCCACAGATAATACCTATGGCTAGAGATGGGCTTAAACCAAGTACCTTGGGCATGTAACGATAACAAACCATAGCACTTGACTTCTAAATAATTTCTCTTAAAATAGCTTAACATAAAAAAATGTCTTGTTTTTCCTTTTAAAAGTTTCATTTTTTCCAGGTCATGCCATGAATTTTTCAAAAAATTTGAAAACTATTTTTAAAAAACTGCATAACCTTTTATCACAAACATAAAGACAGTCCATGACACTGCAATAAAATCATATGATATATTACAAGTTGAACTTAACTGTTTATTACACGATTATATGATAGGTGTATTATGTATATGATTATTTATCATTATGTGATAGTTATATATAAATACACTTCAATCTGTGTTATAAAGTATACCTTTAAACTTCAAATGGGAATATAGATTACTGGTTATGAAAATACAATTAAATATGCATTATGTAAGGAAAACATGCCTTTACTGAACTTTAAAAGGGCACTGGGACTTTGATCCTTATCAGTTTAAAATCTGTATCATTCAAATTTAAGACAATTGTATTTCATATCAACCTAAAGTCTGAAAATTATACAGTTAAAATAACCATTCCATGCTATGTTTAAATAATTAAATAAATGTTGATGCTAATTTAGATTTAATGTTACTACAAAATAATACAGTTACTTGCTAAGGATGATAATAAATACTAAAATATACTAAAATTAATATTTACCACCAAACATTAATTTTGAATGCTATTTTACTGATAAAATAATTGCTATTGCTAGAATTACTACTAAAGACATTTTTATTGCCATTTTCAGCTTTTTCTTGTTATTTCTTTATGACAGAAACGCATGTTTCTACCAATTTAACACAGTATGATCACTTCATGCAAACATTGTTTATAGTGTCTTATAGTTTTATACTGACCTTGGGGAATCCAGGAGATGGTTCCCTCTTTTCTCGTTGCCTAGCAACCTTCTCCTTCATCTTGGTCAGCTGTCTCTCTTTCTCATCCTGTAAAGGGACATCATCATACAATATTTGTATAATATATGATAATAAAATGTATTATATGTCAAATTTAAAGAAAATAAGATGGTTATAAGATGCAAACATAAGATTTATTTGGTAATAAGATGCAAACATATGATTTGATTTGGTTATAGGATGTAAATATTGGATATTATTTGGTTATAGGGTGTAAATTTATTATATTATTTGGTTATAGGGTTTAAATATAGGATATTATTTGGTTATAGGATGTAAATATAGGATATTATTTGGTTATAGGATGTAAATATAGGATATTATTTGGTTATAGGATGTAAATATAGGATATTATTTGGTTATAGGGTTTAAATATAGGATATTATTTGGTTATAGGATGTAAATATAGGATATTATTTGGTTATAGGGTTTAAATATAGGATATTATTTGGTTATAGGATGTAAATATAGGATATTATTTGGTTATAGGATGTAAATATAGGTTATTATTTGGTTATAGGATGTAAATATAGGATATTATTTGGTTATAGGATGTAAATATAGGATATTATTTTGTTATAGGGTGTAAATATAGGGCTCATAAGCTTACATGTAGTATGGGGCATCACTAGGAAACATGATGTTAATATGGGACATAATATGGTTATAAGATATAAATATGGGACATAATATGGTTATACAATATAAATATGGGACATAATATGGTTATAAGATATAAATATGGGACATAATATGGTTATAAGATATAAATATGGGATATAATATGGTTATAAGATATAAATATGGGACATAATATGGTTATAAGATATAAATATGGGACATAATATGGTTATAAGATATAAATATGGGACATAATATGGTTATAAGTTATAAATATGGGACATAATATGGTTATAAGATATAAATATGGGACATAATATGGTTATAAGATGTAAATATGGGACATAATATGGTTATAAGATGTAAATATGGGACATAATATGGTTATAAGATGTAAATATGGGATATTATAAGGCAACTTAATGAATATATTGGACATAATATTGCAATGTGATGTATATACTGAACATTGTAAGGTAATATGATGTACATATTAGAGATAAAAATCAAATTATGTATATATTAGACTTTACAAGGTAACATATGAATATATAGGACATTATAAAGATTTGGAATCAATTGACAATTAAGGCCTCTTTTGGATGTTTATATAGAATGCTTAAATGCACAAAGGTATCATCATCATTCCATCAAATGACACAATCATTTCAAATCATTAGACAACATAAGCTGTACAAACTAGAACTGCCACTGTCATGGCGTGAATACCCCCGCATACCACTTTGTCAGAATCAACAGTGGCCATTTAGAGCTCAAGGACAATGTCCCTGCCAAATCTGAGGTTACTTAGCCAGTGCTATGTATTCTACATGCTTCAAATGTGAAAATGTCAAAATCAATAAACTGCGGACAGGCATTCTTAAGCAATTGAGGGGAAAAGCTTTTTTTAGTCGACCTTTGACCCAGTGACCCTCAAAATCAATAGGGGTCACCTTATAGTCATGATCAACCTCCATGCCAAATATGAAGACTGTGGGTCAAAGGAATATTAAGTTAATGGGTGGACAATCTTTTTGAAGTCAAAGTCCATGTGACCTTGATCTTTGACCCAGTGACCTTAAAATAAATAGGGGTCACCTACTAATCATGACTAACCTCCATGCCAAATATGAAGACTGTGGGTCAAAGGAATCTTAAGTTATTGAGCGGACAAGCTTTTTTAGTCAAGGCCCCTGTGACCTTGACCTTTAACCCAGTGTAATAAAAATAAATAGGGGTCATCTACTTATCATGACTAACCTCCATGCCAAATATAAAGACTGTGGGTCAAAGGTTTCTTAAGTTATGGGCCAACAATCTATTTGAAATCAAAGCCCCTGTGACCTTGACCTTTGACCCAGTGACCTCAAAATAAATAGGGGTCATCTACTAATCATGACTAACCTCCATGCCAAATATGAAGACTGTGGGTCAAAGAATCTTAAGTTATTGGGCAGACAAGCTTTTTATAGTCAAGGCCCCTGTGACCTTGACCTTTAACCCAGTCAACTTAGAATCAATAGGGGTTATCTACTAATCATGACTAACCTCCATGCCAAATATGAAGACTGTGGAGCAAAGGTTTCTCAAGTTGTTGGGCGGACAAACTTTTTAAAGTCAAAGTCCCTGTGACCTTGACCTTTGACCTGGTGACCTCAAAATCAATAGGGGTCATCTACTAATCATGACTAACCTCCATGCAAAATATGAAGACTGTGGGTCCAAGGAATCTTAAGTTATTGGGCGGTCAAGCTTTTTGAAGTCAAGGCCCCTGTGACCTTGACCTTTGACCTGGTGACCTCAAAATCAATAGGGGTCATCTACCCCTCATGACTAACCTCCATGCCAAATATGTATACCCCCCTTACAACTTTGTTGTGCGGGGGTATAAAAATAAAACTACCGGTAACCATAAACCTGGTCTTACTACAATATGATTTACTATCTAAAACAATACAAGCTTGAAAAATAACGCACTAACATAGTTTTTCCAACAAATGACCTTGAAAAAAAAGATAATTAATTCAATAACATTTAAGACATGGAAGATATTGTTAATTATGATTCATATTTGACAGATAGCAACTAAAAGAGATATCTACAACTAGCTGAAATTTAAATTGGATGACTACTTTTTCTAATAAAAACATCATATGATCATGTCTTAACATCCAAATTCAGGTAGAATCACAGCAGAGTCATTAATTCTTCATGGTTGAGTAAAACTACTGGTCAAAACATGCTAATGTAGGTTGATTCTCAAGGGTATAACAGTACTTTTCAAAGTTGACACATATATACACTACACACTAAGCATTTACAAATCAGTAACTGTACCTCATAAATTTTTTTACAATTGTGACAAAATTTTTTTTTTTTTCCTTTTATCATCCAAGTTAAGTGAAAACTATTTTCTTATCACTGACAATTTCGCCACAATTTTTCACACTAAATCTGAACAGCTTTTGCCATGATACGTCAGATCATATCGTCACCCGAGTGCAGTTACGGGCTAGCGCCTATAAAATTATTTGAGGAGTTACCCGTTTCTGCACTAAGGTGATAAAATTATTATGTAGATGTATAATGAAAACAAGCAGGTCCAAAGAAAAACCAATCAATGTAGCAAACTACCACACTGACTTCTAATAAAACTAATTTATGTGGCAAACAATCACACTGTAACTTCTAATTAAACCAATCTTTGAGGCAAACAATCACACTGTAACTTCTAATTAAACCAATCTTTGAGGCAAACAATCACACTGTAACTTCTAATTAAACCAATCTTTGAGGCAAACAATCACACTGTGACTTCTAATTAAACCAATCTATGTGGCAAACAATCACACTGTAACTTCTAATTAAACCAATCTATGTGACAAACAATCACACTGTGACTTCTAATCAGACCAATCTATGTGGCAAACAATCACACTGTAACTTCTAATTAAACCAATCTTTGAGGCAAACAATCACACTGTGACTTCTTATCAGACCAATCTATGTGGCAAACTATCACACTGTGACTTCTAATCAGACCAATCTATGTGGCAAACAATCACACTGTGACTTCTAATCAGACCAATCTATGTGGCAAACTATCACACTGTGACTTCTTATCAGACCAATCTATGTGGCAAACAATCACACTGTAACTTCTAATCAAACCAATCAATGTGGCAAACAATCACACTGTAACTTCTAATTAAACCAATCTATGTGGCAAACAATCACACTGTGACTTTCAATCAGACCAATCTTTGAGGCAAACAATCACACTGCGTGACTTCTAATCGGACCAATCTATGTGGTAAACAATCACACTGTGACTTCTTATCAGACCAATCTATGTGGCAAACTATCACACTGTGACTTCTTATCAGACCAATCCATGTGGCAAACAATCACACTGTGACTTCTTATCAGACCAATCTATGTGGCAAACAATCACACTGTGACTTCTTATCAGACCAATCTATGTGGCAAACAATCACACTGTGACTTCGAATCAAACCAATCTATGTGGTAAACAATCACACTGTGACTTCTTATTTGGACCAATTTATGTGGCAAACAATCACACTGTGACTTCTAACCAGACCAATCTATGTGGCAAACAATCATACTGTGACTTCTAACCAGAACCAATCTATGTGGCAAACAATAATACTGTGACTTCTACCAGACCAATCTATGTGGCAAACAATCACACTCTGACTTCTTATCAGACCAATCTATGTGGCAAATAATCACACTCTGACTTCTTAGCAGACCAATCTATGTGGCAAACAATCACACTCTGACTTCTTATCAGACCAATCTATGTGGCAAACAATCACACTGTGACTTCTAATTGGACCAATCTATGAGGCAAACAATCATACTGTGACTTCTTATCAGACCAATCTATGTGGCAAACAATCACACTCTGACTTCTAATCGGACCAATCTATGTGGCAAACTATCACACTGTGACTTCTAATCAGTCCAATCTATGTGGCAAACAATCACACTGTGACTTCTTATCAGACCAGTCAATGTGGCAAACAATCACACTGTGACTTCTTATCAGACCAATCTATGTGGCAAACAATCACACTGTAACTTCTAATTTGACCAATCTATGTAGCAAACTATCACACTGTGACTTCCAATTGGACCAATCTATGTGGCAAACAATCACACTGTAACTTCTAATTTGACCAATCTATGAAGCAAACTATCACACTGTGACTTCCAATTGGACCAATCTATGTGGCAAACAATCACAATGACTTCTAATCGGATCAATCTATGAGGCAAACAATCACACTGCTACTTCTAATCGGATCGATCTATGAGACAAACAATCACACTCTGACTTCTAACCAGACTAATCCATGTGGCAAACAATCACACTGTGACTTCCTATCAGACCAATCTATGTGGCAAACAATCACACTGTAACTTCTAATCAAACCAATCCATGTGGCAAACTATCAAACTCTGACTTCTTATCAGACTAATCCATGTGGCAAACAATCACACTGTGACTTCTAATCGGTCCAATCTATGTGGCAAACTATCACTCTCTTTCTTTTAATTGGACCAATCTATGTGGCAAACAGTCACACTGTGATTTCTTATCAGACCAATCTATGAGGCAAACTATCACACTGTGACTTCTAATCGGACCAATCTATGTGGCAAACAATCACACTGACTTCTAATTGAATCAATCTTTGTGGAAAACAATCACACTGTGACTTCTTATTAGACCAATCTATGAGGCAAACAATCACACTGGGAGTTCTTATCATCACACATGACAAGGTGTAATGAATGGGATTAAAATAAAGATAAAAATAAAAGAGGAACTACTGTAGATAATCAAAATCAAAGCAGGGAATGTTCATTGTTGAATATTGCTGCAATAAGGTTTCTACTGTGCATATTCTCATTTACCAAATCAAGTTTTACAAATGTCTCCTTTTGCGTTTTTTGTGATAAAAATGTGTTAAGATATATCATGCATAGTGAGTTAGTATTTGCATAGCAAAAGAAATAGCTTCACTATAAGAAACATTTCATTTAAATTTTAAAAAGGCAAAGAACTCCAAATATTCCTTTTTAATATAATGTACTTATTAATTTATGTTACACTATGAACCTGAGAGACAACATGCAAGCATAAAATTTCATATTTCTAAGTACATTTTTTGTAAATTTTTTCCAATAGACACTCTGATTTAAACAAATATCCTCCATAATTTTATCTTTATTAGCATGAATTTTCTTGTGTGTGTGTTTTTTTTGCCTTATCTCTTATAAGCTTGAAATTAATTAAATTTCAAAAAGTTTGAATAAAATATCCAGATAATATTGACCATTTTCAATAACAATGTCCTAAAACATTATCATCCAGATATTGACCTTTTTCGAAAACAGTGTCATCCGGATAATTGACCTTTTTCAAAAACAATGTCCTAAACTTTTATTAACCAGTATAACCCTTTTTAAAACCAGCATCCTAAAATTCTGGAAAAGCAATTTGACATACAAAAGCAACAAAGTTCTATAAATACCTGTTGTGATTTCATAAGAATGGTTTTCTGCCTATGCCCGAGACTGAGGACCTCTGCTGCCTCCTCCTTCTGTTTCCCCTGTCTCATCTCTAACCTTCTTCTTAACTGTAAGAACACAAAATATTATTTTCAATGAAGGGCAGTAACTCCTGTTTAAATGATACAATAAATTTAATGCATTTTGAAGGAAATCTGTTTGTTAACTGGTAGCCTTCTAAACTCTCAAGTTATTTCTACTTTGTTACAGTTTTTTTTTTTATCTTTTGAACGGGATTCAAGTAACATTAACATTGTAAATGCCATGCAGCAAGTTTTCAGCATTATATGTGGACTAAGACATGTAGGTTATTTAGATTTTTTGTTTGCTTTTATGTCACATCAACAAACTAAAGGTCTTAAACTTCCAGCTGTACAGGTGCAGAAATAACTCAGGTGCCACTCTGTGCATTATTTAAAGGATGAGCCGGCAGCTATGTAGAACCACCCATGTTCCATAAGCAAACCAGATAGCTCCTTCAAACGAAAAACTCCAGTCCCTGGCAGGATTCAAACCCACAGCAGTGATGGCCATGGACAAGCATCTAAGGTATGTAGAATCATTATAATGGACAGAACAGAGTACTTCGTTGGAAACACTAATATTACATTAGTAAGCTAGATTTTCTGATTTAAAGTGAAGGATTTCTATCACAAAGTATCTTTACATAATTCTGAGGCAGTAAGAAACACAGGAAATGGAAAACAGTTATAATACAAAGAAGTGGCCCCGTGGCCGAGTAGTTAACGCATCGGACTAATTAATCTAAGGATTGCTGACCGTGTGGGTTCAAACCCTGTCAGGGGCAAGCCGTTGTTTCCCTCAGCAAAAAACTTTACATTCATTGCTTAATACTGATTAGTTCCAGGAACGGATTTGAGAGTGTTTTAATAAGCTTTTAGCTTCGAACACAATCAAACTGAAATACATTTGTATAAACTAAACTAATACAAATAACCTATAAAGATTTACCATTTCTTCCTGCCTTTTTTGCTGAGCTGAGATTTTGTTCTGCAGATTTCTCTGTTGTTGGGTCATCTGTGCGAGGAATGCCTGTTTCTGGTCCTCAGTAATGTCTACATCAACAACCGTCTTCTCTCTACGCATTCCTCCAAATGGTGGCTAAATTACACAAACATTATTTATTCTGGGTAACTGATGAAAAACTATCTTATATACATATTACAACAAATAATTCAAAACCGATCAATGAGAGTAGATTTCTTAGATTAGTACCAGGACTCAAAATTCAGGACATCATCATAACAAAGAGAGAATCCTAATAGAAGTTATACTACAATTTTAAGGTCCAGTGTTTTCATTTAAAATCAATTGGTGGCCTTAAGTACACTTGAACTGGTTCTTCACACTCTGTATCAGATGCTCAGAGATAAATCTTTACCTGTACACTGCTAGAATTGAAAACAATTTTTCCCTTTGCCCCAAATTTGACATGGGCCGTTTTTTTATGTTGACTGACAAAAATTTGTTTGAAAAAAATTTATAAAGGGGAGACCAAAAAAGAAAATGGACAAGCATTTAAGACGTTTAGAGTCAGGGTTTTCTATTTTTTATTATAATTTTAATTACTTGAAAAGTTATTTGGTTGGATAACCAAATTATATAGAGGATATTTGTTAAATTCAGTGTAAGATCGGAATATATTTCACCGAGTGAGCACCAAAAGGTATATTTCACGTGTGGCGCAGCCATGAGTGAAATGTGAACTTTTGGTGTTCACGAGGTGAAATAAATTTGATCTTACACTAAACTAAACAAATTTTCTTTTTATTATATGCAAACAAATGTTAAAAAGGACATTTTTTAACTAATACTAAATGAATAGCTGCGCCAAAATAATTATACAATGTGACGTCATTTACGACTGTCATCTTTATTAAGTTGGTTTCCAGTTTCTGTTTATGCTGGGTATTTCACTGAAACAACGTAAGGTTCGGCTTAAATTCAAAACAGTGAAATTATCAAATTGATAATTTCACTGTTTCAAACAGTGAAATTACCAGTTTTAATTGACTGATATATTTCTATAAACCATCGAAAAGCATGTAATAAACATGATTATTTAACATTTCCTAATTGAGAATTACAAGTAATGAAGTATGCTCTTATTATTATATTGTGCTCTTCTGAATCACTTTAAAACTTCTAGATTGGTCTCCCGGTTAAACTACTCTTGTCACCATGAAGGTAGAAATATCAAGTTATAAAGCTTACCAATGGTGTATCATTGCTGCTCCTCTGACTTGGAGCTCTTCTTTCATCATACATATCTAGAGTGCTCTCCCTGTCTAACTCTTCTCTCATATTCTTGGCCTCCTTTCTGGCATCTCGTCGCTCTCGCAATTTCTGTTGTAACTGAAATATTATTGTAATTGCAAATAGATGTTTTATGGATAATATGCACTGTTTTTCACAAAAATTCCAGGAATACCAAATAAATTTCTGAACATTTATATATTCATTTTTCACATTAAAGGAGAGTTACTACATATCTTAACTAAATGAGAGCGCTACATTAAACAACAGCAGCAGCAGCAAAAGGCCTGTGCTATATCAAATGGTTTGTTTTTAGGTAAAATATAAATTCAAGTTTATATACAAAGCTAGGAGGATGAAAAATAGCATTTTTCAAGTTATTTTTTGTTTGTTTGTTTGTTTTATTGGGATAAGATAAAGTTTGACAGTATTTCAAATATTCACCGATGGGCTGGTACTTTCAAAATTGGTGTTCCCAGATTCCTCCATAAGAAACTGTAGTTTTCTCAACATAAATTTTTTAACAGCAGTGCAAGATGTATTGCATACACTGCAGCAAAGACTCATGCATATTTCATTGATAACTACTGACATCTGCAAATATGTAATAGATTTGATAAACAAATTCATAAAAATAAGCAGTTAAACTTTTTAAAAGAAGCAAGAAATAAGTGCTACAAATAAGTGCTACCGTATTTGCTTGTTTTCCTGTTTCCCCAGCAACCGTGGCCTCTAATTGTTTCACCTGGTCCTTGGCTTGTTGAAGAAGCTGTCTTGCCGCAAGAGCCTCATAGTCATGCTGTTCTCGTGACATTCTATGAGCCTCAAGTTTACGAAACAAAGTCAATTTTTGGGCTTGCTTCTCCTTCAGTAATTTCTGAAATTTGAAAAAGAAATCTGGCATTAACTTAAAAGACATTTTATTGATATAATTATACAACCTACCAGCGGTAACTATAGGAACAGTCAAATGTTTGGTTTTTCAAAATAAGCAAACAGTCTGGTCTATACAACATAAAAAAAATATACCTTTCATTTTTACATACATTCAAAAACACATTGATGAATATCTTTGATTCTCATAATGTTGATCAACAGTATAGTCTTGTCAGAAGACACAGCAGCATTGTAACATTTTATACAGATTACTAGTAGTCTGATTTTATACTGGCAGAGAAAGCAAATCATTATCAGTCCTAACATACTTGGAGTTAATTATGAAAACTTGGTATGTTTTTGTTGTTGTTGCTGTTTTACTTATATATGGAATTAATGTTACTCTGCAGGTGATTCTTTTCATATTTCATTCATGAAATCTAAGTTGCCTCTTCCCCATGTATTTATAAAAAATATGTCTGCTGACACAATCAGTACCTGTTGCTGTTCCTCATACTGTCGCAAGATTTCTTTCCGGAGTGCATCCAAATCTACTTCTTCCCCACTCTCTTTAGCTGAAAAATAAAACTACTTGAATTCAGTGAGCTTGAGTCACATTTTAAAGCAGTATTTAAGTTCTCATATATGAGAGGGAGTGTTCTATTATTCAGTCCATTTATATAGGGAAATCTGTTGGTGGACTAAAACAAGGTCAGATAAGACAGAGAGTCATTGAATTGGGCAGTCTCCTCTGTACTGTATAAAGCAGTCACCTGAATCAATTTCTTAAATTCTGAACCAGATTTAAACAAAAAATTGTTTTAGACCTATTCAACTAATTAGTCAAAGAGATAGAAGTCTTTGACCTTATGACTCAAAGATTTCATTCTTATTTAGTCCATATCAAACATACAAGTTAAACTTTACATATAAATTAGGCAATGCCAGACCTTTCTCTATAGAGGTCTGTATCTCCTGTTCCATTTGTTGTTCAAGGTCAGCAATCGCCTTGTCAAACTTTTCATCGATCTCATCACCCTCCTCCGATACCATGAGAGAATGTGACACATGGAATACTGTACGTGACAGGTTATCAAACCAACCCTCTCTACATGCCACATGCTGACTTTTGCGCATTTCTCTCAAGACTTCCTCGTCCTGAAAACATTAAAAAGTGATTAATTAATTTTTGGTTTCAGTACAAATTTAAAAATATATTTATAGTTCCTTTAAATACAATACGACTGTTATATATGAGTTTTACCAGAGGGCAGTTCTCAGTCATTTATTGCAATAAAAATGTTTGAAGACATATGAGGAAAATTACTGTGTAATTGAAAATGTAATTTTCAAAGAACAAAAAAGTGCAGAATTCAGTCAATAATTGTTTACATGTGCAGAAATAAGGGTCTAGTCATAGGTTGTTTATATCAGAAAATATAATTTAAATCTTTGGCAACACTTAAGTTTTAAAAAAGACAGATAAAAGGTACCATCCGCTTTTAACTGAATATGATAAAACGGTAACTCTAGTTATAAATTTACAGTGGCCCTTTATATACTGTCACATTTTTCTATGCATAAAGTAATCAAAGTACCTGATCATCTAGTAATCTCTGTAATGCTCTACCCTCAGCTGTTTGTTTCTCTTGTAGATCTGTTACCAAGGCAACCTCAACTTCCTCCTCCTGGTTCTGGAAACTGAGATCAGATCTCTGCTGCTGCAACAGACGTCTTTCCACTAAAAACATACAAAAAGAAACCATACATTTAAAAAAAAGACAACTGCTTATTCTGCAAAATTGTTGCATTTTCTTTTATAAATACATGTAAAAACAAGTTATGAGTGTTGTGTTGAACGCTCTAAAATCTCAAATGTTAAAACCTGTATCTATGACATATTTAATTCAAATAGTAACAGAAATTCTAAAATTCAAGATCCTCTATTGATACAATATTTAGAACCAATCTTTTAGCAAAGCTCCATAGAACAAGTGCTGTTACAAAGATGATGCACTTGATATTCTCAGGGATTGTTAGTTAAAACACAAGCCAAACTTTATGAAAATGAAACATTCATTTTCTTTAGTTCAAAAAGAAAAAACAAGAGGGCCATGATGGCCCTGGATCACTCCCCTGACCCATCAACCGCATCCAAGCAATGTCTTAGACAAGCATCCTGGCCAAGTTTGATGACAACTGAGTCAAACATGTGACCTCTAGTGTGTTAAAAAGGTTTTTCCATATTTGGGCAATGTGACCTAATTTTTGACCGGAGACGACCCATATTCAAACCTGACCTAGAGATCATCAAAACAACCTTCCTGACCAATTTCCAGGTAATTTGGATCAAAACTGCAGCCACTAGAGTGTTAAAAAGATTTATCTATTTTTAGCTCCTGTAACCTAGTTTTTAACCGGACATGACCAATCTTCGAACTTGACCTAAAAATCATCAAAACAACCTTCCTGACAAATTTCCAGAATATTTTGATGAAAACTGAAGCCACTAGAGTGTTTACAAGCTTTTTTCTATTTTTAGCTCCTGTGGCCTAGTTTTTGACTGGAGATGACCAATCTTCGAACTTGACCTAGAAATCATCAAAACAACCTTCCTGACAAATGACAAATTTCCAGAATATTTGAATCAAAACTGCAGCTGCTAGAGTGTTAACAAGCTTTTTCTATTTTTAGCTCCTGTGACCTAGTTTTTGACCGGACATGACCCATCTTCATACTTGGCCTAGAAATCATCAAAACAACCTTCCTGACAAATTTCCAGAATATTTGAATTGAAACTGCAGCCGCTAGAATGTTAACAAGCTTTTTCTATTTTTAGCTCCTGTGACCTAGTTTTTGACCGGAGATAACCCATCTTCAAAGTTGACCTAGAAATCATCAAAACAATCTTCCTGACAAATTTCAAGAATATTTGGATGAAAACTGCAGCCACTAGAGTGTTAACAAGCTTTTTCTATTTTTAGCTCCTGTGACCTAGTTTTTGACCGGACATGACCCATCTTTGAACTTAACTTAGATATCATCAAAACAACCTTCCTGACAAATTTCCAGAATATTTGGATGAGAACTGCAGCCACTAGAGTGTTAACAAGCTTTTTCTATTTTTTGCTCCTTTGACCTAGTTTTTCATCAGAGGTCATCCATGATCGAACTCATCCGAGATATTATAGATATTATTGAGACAGATATTCTGACAGTTTCATGATGATTGAGGAATAAGTGCGACTGCTAGAGTGTTAACGAACTAAATGTGACGGACGACGGACAATCATCGATCCTAAAAGCTCACCCTGAACATGCTCAGGTGAGCTAAAAAAACTAGTAATAAACCATTTTAGATATATTAGTTTTGGTTCATAACATATATGTTATGACTCCAAAAACATGTTTGAAATTTGTTTCAAGAAAATTCCTTTAAAGGCTAATAAGAAATGAAATTACAGGCTAACTTTTACACCAACACTAACACAAAGATGAAAAGGAAAGCTCTTCTTTCCTTCATAAAAGTTGAGTTAAAAATGATGTTTCATAATCAAACATATTTTATCACCACAGAAACTGTATGAACAACTTCCAAACTAAAACAACAATGCATACCTTCTAATCTATAAACTAAAGCATCAGAGAGAATTTTAAGCTGGTCAGATCTATTCTTAGCAACATCTGACATGTGATTCTGAGCCTGCTCTTGTGTCATGCTGTCCTCATTGAGGTCAGCCACCTGTTGGGTGGATCTCTTCCTCCATTTCTGGTGTTCCTGTTCAAGCTTGGTCAACTGTGATTTTAGTTCCTGGATGAATCAAAATCCATTTCCATAAGTAAGAATACTAAGTATTTAAAAACAATGACTCAACTCATGCTTTTTGTAAACATAAACATTTACATAAAAGACAATGTTATTAAACTCGACATAGAATTGTCATTAATCTAAAGCTGAATCTTTGCTTAATACATGTACAATTTAAGGACTTAACTTTTTTTTCTTCTTCAGTTTTTTACGATGTCTTTATGATTAAGCTTAATTTTGATAACCTATGGTAGAACATTGCTATTATCTGTCTCAAGATAAGGAAATATGAGATATATTTGAGATAGTTTCTGATCTATCTAAATCTATGTGACATTTTTGTGTTACCTCGTCAGCTTTACCATCAGCTTTATTGACTGACTTGGCCAGTTCAAGTATTGCCATTAACATATCCATTTCTTCATCATGTTTATCTTCTAGTACTGTCATTAATGCCTCATGTATACTTCGACCTGCAATTCACCATCATTTAGTCATGAGAAATTTGCTATAAATATTTTGAGTATAGAATATATTTGAATCTATCAGGAAAAAAAAACAAAACAAAAAAACAACCAAAAAACAAAACAAAACAATCAGGACCTGCCTGTAGTCAACATCTTTAAACTTCAAAACTCAAATTTTAATTTACACATTTAATGATGTAGATTTTTTTTGTGCTATTTTTTGTTTAACTGTAAATAAATATCAATAAAATTTTATTTACTTTTCAGTACATGTACTTGCATTATGTTCATTTCTGCTAAGTTTTTAACTGGAACTTGTGAATACTGAGACAGAATATTAAGGATTTGAATCTATGTCTCTATGCTAAATAGGACAAGCTACCAACCTTCCGAATCTTTAACAACATCTTCTAGAGCTGCGAGGTCATCATCTTTCTTTGTCTGTTTCTGTTGTTTCTTTTGCTTCCTGGATTCTAACCTTTCCTTCGCAACATTTCTCTGACGTTCACGTTCAGCTGTTATCCTGTAATATACTCACTGGTATTAATAATAAACAAAAGCTGTACTTATGCTTATGTGCTTGTATTTAACATTTTCAAATTTTAACCAGATGCTTAAGTGTAAATTATACTGGGTTTTATGCAACAAACTATCCACGGTGTTCATGATTTGTTTCCTTAAGCATTTTCACAGTGCTTGTTCGAAACAGTATATATTTTCTAATAATCCAAACTTCTATGCTGTTCTTTTTTTTTTTGCAAATCGAGAAAATTTAATTTGATGTTTATAATTATCAAACTGCTTGTATTCTTTATGGTCATCTAACAGGACCATGAGAAATAAACAGATATGGTGCTGACTCTAGGACAGGGTCAAATTTAGGACACCCGAAGTTATGTACTGATGTATCACAAAATGAAATATCAACAATTTTCCTACTTTGTGAAGTAATATCACTTCAAATGTATTTTACAATGTTATCATTTTTCACATGATTTCAGTAATATTGAGCAACATACCCTTTTTCTCTCCTTCTTTCATCTTCCTTAGAACTATGTATGATCATTACTATTTCATTCAACTTCTCTCCCTTCTTCATCTTCCGCTCATCCCTCTTCAACTTGGCAAGTTCGATCTGTCTCTGTTTTTCTCGAGAGGCCTTGTCTGTCTGGTAGGATAATGTTTTCAGTAACTGTGCTTTCTCATCATCAAAATTCCTCTGTAGATCTTCAAGAATATTCTGGAAAGCACAAATATTTAGTACAGTAATTTCGATGATACCTAACATGATTCCTGTTGTAGATTGCCATACAGAATACTAATAAGCAATTATCAATTTATTATCCAAGAGTTCAAATAGATCTATACAATTTCCATTGACATCAGCAAATATATGTACAGGCATTATGAATAAAGATAAATGAGTCCTTAATAATGTGCTAAATGAATGTGTTTAAATGAAATGAATTATTGCTCACAGTATGTACCAAAATAAAAACAAAAATGCTTGAAGTAAATAAATTTCATCATGAAAATAACTTTGTACATACAATCAAACCTATGCACAACTTCCAGCCAGAGAAAAATGTAAATATAGTCTTTATTGACAAGACAAGTTAATTTGCAGTATAATTATATCAAATGAAGATTATAAAAGGTGCCCTTCAAAGTGTTTTACATGTATGTGCAGTCTATAGTTCAAGTTTTAATGTAATTCATAAACATCACATAACAAAAACAGAGAAGACTTTGGTTTGTTACCCTTCTCTTTTGCCTCATTATCTCAGCCTCCTCTTCTTCAACAATGGCATCTATTGTTGTGTCGTCTGCTGCGAGACCCTGTGCCTCCCGCTCCTCTTTCAGTTGTTTACGTCTCTTTAACCTAGCCTCCAACCTCTCTCGTTGCTGCTGCTCCGTCTCCACAATAAAATCATCCAACACTGTGTTAATTATAAAATTAAATCATACCCTTAAAAACAACAACAAGAATGAATGAATGAATGAATGAACCCAAATAATTTCAGTGCCTATATAAAGAAGTATGATAATGACAAATATTCTGGTAAAACACAGATTTCAAACCTACAGCCAATTTGCATTAATTATACTTTTATTAAATATTATACATTGACATCTATGGTACATGACACATCCCCTTGTAAAAATTGTATGTTTGGTTCATAAGACAGACAACAATCAATTAATTATTTCCACTTACATTTTTCATTTTCAAGATAGCTTCCAATGATATTGGCAATTTCATCCATCTTGCCTTCTCTGCGTAGTTGTCTTTCCTTGATTTTTAAATCTATCAGTTTTTTCTGTCTCTGCTTCTCAGACATTCTGTTCCATTCAGCTTCCCCATGCTCTTTCATCAAAACCTTTAAAGGTAGGAAATGGTGTAAGTTACAAATAATTGCACAAGAACTAGAATATTATGAAATCATTGCAAGAAATCCTTTACAGGATGTCATATTTTTTAACTGTAATGCATCATTGTCTGAGATATATTTGGCAAAAGAAGGTATAATTCTTCACATTTTTAGCCCTACAAGGCTAATCTATTTTGCATCAATTTAGTATCCTACAAATTTCTAGTGACACCATATACCAAAGTTATCATTCATAGTCTAGACAATGAAAGTTATGTTAAAGGGAAAAACAAGGTTAGAATAAAAACTTGATTTCAGAAAACGAATACTATAAATAATAAATCTGCAAATTTTCTGCCGCCAAATAATAATATTAAACGAATGATAACGAAATTTAAATCGCTAAATCGCCGATTTCTACAAATCAGTAGGCGCGGCCATGTTTGTGTATTGGCCGTATAAAAACAGGTGCGCGTGATGTCATTTCCCCACATCTTTAGATTTATGATAAATCTAGTTGAATCGTAGCGAAATATTTACATAATAAAGTATTGACCAGACAATTTAATTTTCACAGGAGGTGTAGAGGCGATTTTTTTATTGTTCAAAATACGTAACAATATCAAAAAAAAATAAAAAATAAAGAAACAAATAAAAAATCAACGTCTACCGGTCGCAAAACTTCAGGCCAGTGATGCCCGTTACTCCAAACAATGCTATGTTCATTAAAGTCTCATCTTAATGTAATTAAACAATATTTCACAGAGTTAATAAATACACATGTTATTATTTAACAAAGTTTCACAATCAAATAATGTAATTAAATAAACAAACGCACCAACGAATAATTGGCTGTTAATTATTGAACGGCGATCATTATCATTATTATTTAAATCCTACTAAATCGTGTTCTTAATAGTACATGTAATTAAATTTTTGCAGTTTGATTCTGATTTTCAAATTAAAAGGTGTGAACATATGTTAGTAGTGATGTACACATTTCAAAAATATAAGCAACTCTTTTGAAAAGTAAATTGTTTACATGTCTGTCAACGTATGATGCTTCGTGGTATTTATTTACATCGTAATCGTAGCCTAATATTAACTGCATGCAAAACATTTTTATTGGCTGCTCAAAAATCTCATTTGCATAATTTATTCACACAATTGCTGGTTCTTACTACTTATGACTAATACTGCGCATTATCCATTTTAATTGTTCCTAATTTGCACCAAATGTTCCTGTCACACTGTGTACTAACGATTTTTATTGCTCCTTGTACGCCTCTGTGCCGCCATACCTTTTGATCATGCACAATGTTGCCCTGATTGGTTCATCACCCTTGTCAAATATTCTAATGACGAAATAGACATTTTTTTTTAAGCTTCATCAGTGAACTGAATGACCTTAGGGGAAATTAAGTTCCGCACCTGTCAAGTTATACTGTAAATTACAGCATTTCATACAATAGCAACACATTTTTTCAGTTACCAATTATCATTTTGAATATTAAGTAGATTTATGATTTTTTGTTTTATTGGATTAAATTTACGGTAGTAGAAATGCGTATCTGTCGGGGAAAGGAATTTGGTAAGTAGATAACGAAGAAAAAAGCTTTAGGGAACTGGATAAACCCTAGAATATGCGTAATTATAGGGGAATGGGCAACCTGTTGCTGTTGGTACCAGTTTTGACTGGGTGCCTAAATAACCTAACGGACAGTTTTGTTTTCATACGATATTAGTCTAGCTGCCGATTTCTTGCGCCATTTTATTTTTAGCGTCAATGTCGGAAAATCGCGTCCTCAGGAAATATCTGCATATTGGATTTAGTTGATATTTACCGCTGAGAAAAAGATACATGACTGGCGATGTACCCTATTCAGACAGCTTGTCTAGCGAAAATTAAGTACCAAATAAAAGGATATATCGTCAATTTGAAGAAGTTTCTCAAAGTACCCAAATTAAATTGATGGTTTATCTTTGAAAACTAAGCAGTCATTGCTTAAATCATGTGGTGGGATCATCAGCAAGCTTGAAAAATACCGCGGCGTCTTCAATTAATTAATTAAAGCAATTCAGTTCCATATGATGTTTTCATAAATAATAAATAATGTGCGCAATAAAATTAATAAGTTCTTCGTCAAGATATATTTCAGTTGTACCAGCGTGTACACCTATACCGGAAGTGGGTATAACACGTCACAATCTCGGTCTCGTCTGTCTCGCGAGAATGACAGAACGCCAAAATGGCGGCGCCCATGAACTTATTTCTCAAGTAAAAAATAGTGTCTTAAAACACGAATTTCTCACTTAAAAGGTTGATGTCAACAAAAAAACTGTCATGGTACCTCTTTTTTAATGATGAATATTTATATTAGACAGACATCAATCCATCCATTCCTATTCCTTTAAAAAATCTCTTAACTTTTTGCATCATGTTTTTATTAATTAAGCAATATTTATTTGTTTACCTCCATTAACAATTTGTCTTTCATAGCATCATATTTGTCCTCTAGAGCCTTAACTACACTAGCTTCAGTTGTCTCCCCTGATTCCCCATCTTCCTCACCATCATTCTCTGACCTTGACCTGTCTCCTAGCAACACAGCAGCAATATTGTCACATGACTCATCTTTGTTAATCACTGTAATAGCTCGGTGAAGCTGCTGCAATCCCTTTAAATCCTGTGAAATTATGTTAACATGAGATCAATACTGAATTGTTTTATTACCAGCAGTAAGCTTTCTTTAAGGTTTGCTCTTCCAACAATTTTTCCTTAAAGGAGATACATGTATACTTTTTTTCATGTTTACTGACTTGTTAAAATATTATATAAAATAACTGCTGCTTTCAGGCCTAAAAGATGTGCAATACCACTTAACACTAAACCTTGAGAACCAAAAGTGATTACCCTTTGCCTTCAGTATAGAGCCAGGCCAGCTTGCACGTCAGTGACCAGTCTCTATACTATTGGCAGCTCAATTATTGGGTTTTTTAAATAGAAATCCCTTGAACTTTGAATGAACTATTTCAAATTCAAAGCTGGACAGATCCATTATAGAAATATAGCAAGTTCAACATTAAGTTCTACATTAAAATGTAAATATCAGTTCACTAAACAGATTTACTTTTTTTATAAATGGAAAAATAAACAAAAAATAGCATTTAAGACATGTTTCCTGACATAAAATAGCATTTAACCCATTACTTCATATACACGCCTTTTAACGCCTTTTTCACCCCCCCCCCTTTTTTGTTGTCTCAAATGATGAAAAAATACCTTATTTAGGCCCCAAACACTTGTTTTTGTTTGAGAAATGTTGTTAAAAAAAGTGACCTCTTTTTCGGCGCGGCCCCCCAACCAAAAGATACATCAGGGGGTAACGCCAGAAGGGGGATGTGCCCCCGTCTGTTTGGGTGGTTTGAAGGGGGGCGGAGTCCCCCTCATCGCCAAGAAAATTTTGGACCTATGAGAGGCTGTAAATGACCCCAGATTGATCATAAGGTAACGTGTAACCAACGCTGAAAAGCATTTGACTCTATCTCAATCCATTGAGAAGTTGCAGCACTTGGAAATCAATTTTGATGGAAAAAATCAACGCAAAATAGTGATTTTTGGCAATTTTGAGATGTCCCCTCGTTGCCATGGTAACAGAAAATTTAAGCCTGAGCATGTTGTTGCAAGGGCAATGGTCCAGTCAACATTTGTGCCAAGTTTGATTAGTGTTGAAGCAGTTTTTATAGTATTATAGCAATTTGAACTTGTAACGGGAGACTTTTCAATGAAAAAAGCCATTTTTCACAAAATGCTTATGAAGTAATGGGTTAATGAAAAAAATCAAAAAATCTACAAAACAACAATTTTTCTTCAAATTTATATGACAGGCCATGTTTAAACATGAAAAAACGCAATTTAGGGTAATTTCAAGTATTTTCATCATTTTCTGTTAACCCATTACTTCATATACACGCCTTTTAACGCCTTTTTCACCTCCCCCCTTTTTTGTTGTCTCAAATGATGAAAAAATGCCTTATTTAGGCCCCAAACACTTGTTTTTGTTTGAGAAATGTTGTTAAAAAAAGTTACCTCTTTTTCGGCGCGGCCCCCCAACCAAAAGATACATCAGGGGGTTGCCAGAAGGGGGATGTGCCCCCGTCTGTTTGGGTGGTTTGAAGGGGGGCGGAGTCCCCCTCATCGCCAAGAAAATTTTGGACTTGTGAGAGGCTGTAAATGACCCCAGATTGATCATAAGGTAACGTGTAACCAACGCTGAAAAGCATTTGACTCTATCTCAATCCATTGAGAAGTTGCAGCACTTTGAAATCAATTTTGATGGAAAAAATCAACGCAAAATAGTGATTTTTGGCAATTTTGAGATGTCCCCTCGTTGCCATGGTAACAGAAAATTTAAGCCTGAGCATGTTGTTGCAAGGGCAATGGTCCAGTCAACATTTGTGCCAAGTTTGATTAGTGTTGAAGCAGTTTTTATAGTATTATAGCAATTTGAACTTGTAACGGGAGACTTTTCAATGAAAACAGCCATTTTTCACAAAATGCTCATGAAGTAATGGGTTAATGAAAAAAATAAAAAAATCTACAAAACAACAATTTTTCTTCAAATTTATATGACAGGCCATGTTTAAACATGAAAAAACGCAATTTAGGGTAATTTCAAGTATTTTCATCATGTTTCCTGACATATACAGAATTAATTAATATTTATCAAGAACTGGTCTATTTTTTCACTACATTAAAATACAACCTAATCTAAGATGTCAATTCCTTATCTTAAATGGCAAAAATTTATAAAAATGAAATGAAATACCTTGCCTGAAATGATACAACCATAGTTTTGAACCATCATTTTATAACGAATGTTATTAGCATTACTAAACTGTCATTACCTAACTTTTGACTTTCATTACCTTATCTTGAATGTCCTTTAACAATTTCGCAGCTTCAACTTTTTGCAGCTCCTGTAGATCAGCCAGCAGTTTAACCTGAAGGTCGTCATCGGTTACCACTTGACCGTCTGCCTCAGACTCACAACGTATCATCTCTAACATTACACTTATTGCATCCTGAAATAATTAATTGCACAATAATAACTGAGCCGCGTCACAACAAAACCAACATAGTGCATTTGCGACCAGCATGGATCCAGATCAGCCTGCGCATCCATGCAGTCTGATCAGGATCCATGCTGTTCGCTTACCACCTCTATTACAAGTAGAATCTGATAGTGAACAGAATGGATCCTGATCAGACTGCGCGTCGCAAACGCACTATGTTGGTTTTGTTTTGACACGGCTCATATATTCTCACTATTCTCACTATACAAACTCTTAATCTAAAGAAGCAAAACTTCTTGCTTTTATAAATGTGTAGTTGTGCACCAATACACACTCAAACACTCTGAGAAACTTACAAATACTATTTCCTGAAATACACATGACTTTTGCTATGTCTTTATAACAGATATAGGACCTGACTCTAGTATCATTTTACAAATAATAGAAATTTTCTAATTGATAAATTTTTCTATCTAAAAAAAAATTTCTTCTTCAACAATAATCTAGTAACATAAATAAAATGAAAGCTTTTCCTCCTTTGCAAAAACAAAAGGGTCAGTTTAAGATGTAACTTTCTGCATTATTTTTCAGAAAGCTTCGAGTATTATCAAAATATCTATTCATGACAACATCATAACTATTATACAATAAAACTTATATACATGTATGCTTATAAATTTTCAATTAAAGTATGATAATAAAATAATGATAAAAGTAACAAAAACAACACCCAGTCAGCAGAAAGGTTTGAACTGGAATGCTCATTATATGATTATATGCTCTTACTCATGCAACTGTCAACCACTGTGCTTAAACATAAGAGCCGTGTCACAACAAAACCAACATAGTGGGTTTGCGACCAGCATGGATCCAGACCAGCCTGCACATCCGCGCAGTCTGATCAGGATTCATGCTGTTCACTATCAGTTTCTCTACTTGTTATAGGGTTTGTAAGCGACCAGCATGGATCCTGATCAGACTGCGCAGATGCGCAGGCTGATCTGGATCCATGCTGGTCGCAAACTCATTATGTTGGTTTTGTCATGACGTGGCTCATATATGCTTCTGCGATACAAAGTTACCAACAGGGATAAACCAAATTGAATTTTTACCTTCAAAAGCTCCATTTGTTCCTTCAAATTTTTCTCATCGGAATTTTTCCAGTTTTTATAGAGTTCGTTTATTTCAAACATCCTGTCACCCCTTTCATCATCACTCATGTCCATGGCGTCCTTTCTCTGTTTACTACCAACACTCTCATCCATTAACTGAAAGGGAACCAGCATCAAGTCAATGCAGAGAACCAGCTTTTACTATGTTATTTATGGACATGTATGTATAATGTCAATTCACCTGAGTTCTGAAATACCCTTAGTTTTCTGTAAGCAATAGAATCTTGTAAACTTTTCACTGATTTGCGTTCCTAGTTATCTGATATAGTAAAACATATACATGTACATTAAAATTTACCAGATTTACATCTCAAAGATTAATGAAATAATAAACTGTTGAAAAACAGCAACCTCAAAATTAGTACAAGTATCAATTTCTTAGAAAATTCTAAATTTCCAAATTCATGTAACAACATGAATTTGGCAAAGGAAAAAAACAGTTTTTATATAAAGTCTTTACAAATATCTTTATCAGATATTTGAATCCTACAAACTAAGTTCTACAAGTAATTTAACACCTGAATAAAATCAATCCACAGAAAAATTAAGAATATGATTAATCTACCTTCACAAAAATCTCTCGTTCTTTTTGATGTCTCCTGTCCATATCATTAGCTATAGCCTCCTGTAGTGATACCGGATCGTCTGTATCGACTGGGCCCATGTCAACCTCCTCCTCCATACTGCCTTTACCTTTCTTACGGTTCCTAGCTGCTTCTAACCGCTCACGAGCAAGCTTCTCTTGTCTCAGCCTTTCTTCTTCCTTTGCCAGACGAGCACTGAAAATAATTTTTTTTTACATAATTGAGCTGCGTCACGACAAAACCAATATAATGGGTTTGCGACCAGCATGGATCCATGCTGTTCGCTATCAGTTTCTCTATTTGTAATAGAGTTGGTAAGCGAACAGCATGGATCCTGATCAGAATGCGCAGAAGCGCAGGCTGGTCTGGATCCATGCTGGTCGCAAACGCACTATGTTGGTTTTGTCATGGCCCTGCTCATATATCTTTTGTGAGGTCTTAAATCCTTGTAACACAGTAAAAAGCCATAAAAGAAACTATCTTGCTGTAGTTATAGAAGAATTTAAATGATTCCTAGGCACTAATTAAAGCATGGGCAAATAATAAAGAAGAACCACTGACATTCCTACACTAAATGAGAGTTTACTCAAAAAGACCTATTCACTCTCTACAATTCAAACTAACATCAGCAAAGGCCATGAAATTCCAAATTTTCTGTTTTCAAAGCTTGGCATCTCTATATAATTTAGGTAAAACATCATAGTAGTTCAAAATACATCACACATCAAATAGTTCAAAACACATCTTGCATTATAGGAAACACTTTTTACAATATATAAACATAAAAAGACACATTTGAACTAACTCTGTATATTTAGAATATACGAGTATAAGAAACAACATTGTAAAACAAAGAGTTACTAATATATTTGAGAGAACTTACTCTTTATCCCTCTGCTCGGCAAGACCAAGTATAAGAGCAGCTCCGTCAAAGTTTCCCTCTCTCTGTGCCAGTTTCTGGTCTCGCTTCAGACGTGCCAGGTGAGCCTGTCTCTCACGTTCTTTATCAAACTCACTACCAGCCTCACCTAATCTGCGCAGAAGCTCTTCCTTTTCCTGTATTTTATAGTTTTATATGAGCATGTCTTATCAACCAAAAATAGTGTTTCGGTATCAATGTATACAAGAGCTGTCGGAAGGACAGCACGCTCGACTATTCTAAGTGCTTGATAGTAAAAGAGCCTTGATAATGTTAAATTTTTTAAGTTCACAAAAGGGCTAATTTTCTTTTATAAATTCATGTTATAGGCCTTAGAGAGAGTCTAGTTATACAGTATTGGCTTGACTTATAATTCGGAAGGTAATGTCACAAGGGTGTTTTATTGAGTATAATAATACTAATTACCTATGAATACATAAATTTGACAGAAAAGGTACAAAGGCTTGTTATTAAGATGTTTTATCAAGTAAATCACTTCTTTATTATCATGAATGCATAAAATTGTCCCAAAAATGGCACAAACCCTTCAGTAGTTATTGAGATAACAGCTTACAAGCAAAACTTTACCATGAATTTCTAAGTTGAAAAAGGGGAGAAAAGTCAGCCTAAATGCAAGATAGAATTATGGATCTTTTTCAGTGACCTACAATTATGACTCTAAATGCATATGTGAAGTTTTAAATAAATATCTTTAATAGTTATTGAGATATGTAAAACTTGCATGTAAACATTAACCAAGAGACTTAACAGAAAAGGGGATATGAATCAGCCTTAATGCAAGATAGAGTTATGGAACTTGGTCAGTGACATACAATTATGACCCTAAGTGCATGTGTAAAGTTTCAAGTAAATATCTTTGAAGACCTTTAACCTTTAACCAAAATTTCTAAGTTTCAAAGGGGCAAATAATTCTGCAAATATTGCAGGCAGAGTTATGCAATTTTGCAAACTGATGTACATTGTTACTATAAAGAAGCATTTTAAATTTCAATTGAATATCTCAAGCAATAATTGAGATATTTGACTTTACAAAAAACTTTAACCAAAACTTCTCAGTTAAAAAGGGGCATAATTCTGTCAATATTGTAGGCAGAGTTATCTAACTTGTCAATCTGATGTACCTTGTTACTATAAATAAGTATTTTAAATTTCAATTGAATATCCCAAGCAATAATTGAGATATTTAACTTTACAAAAAACTTTAACCAAAATTTCTAAGTTAAAAAGGGGCATAATTCTGTCAATATTGTAGGCAGAGTTATCAGACTTGTCAGTCTGATGTACCTTGTTACTATAAATAAGTATTGTAAGTTTCAATTGAATATCTCAAGCAATAATTGCTTTACAAAAAAACTTTAACCAAAATTTCATTTCTGAAAGGCAGAGTTATCCAACTTGTCAAACTGATGTCCCGTTAAGTTTCAATTGAATATATCTCAAGTTAAATTGCTATATTTGACTTTACAAAAAAACTTTAACCAACGCAGACGCCGACGCGGACGCCGACGCCGACGCGACTTATATTCTTCGAATAGTCGAGCTATAAAAACTGCTTCAACACTAAACTCAAAACTTGAATATTTCGCACAGCAATGTTGACTGGACCATTAATACCCAAACTTGACAAATGCAACAACATGCTCAGGCTTAAATTTTCTGTTACCATGGCAACGAGGGGACATCTCAAAATTGCCAAAAATCACTATTTTGCGTTGATTTTTTCCATCAAAATTGATTTCAAAGTGCTGTAACTTCTCAATGGATTGAGATAGAGTCAAATGCTTTTCAGCGTTGGTTACACGTTACCTTATGATCAATCTGAGGTCATTTATAGCCTCTCACAAGTCCAAAATTTTCTTGGCGATGAGGGGGACTCCGACCCCCTTCAAACCCCCCAAACAGAAGGGGGCACATCCCCCTTCTGGCAACCCCCTGATGTATCTTTTGGTTGGGGGCCGCGCCGAAAAAGTGGTCACTTTTTTAACAACATTTCTCAAACGAAAACAAGTGTTGGGGGCCTAAATAAGGCATTTTTTCACCATTTGAGACAAGAAAAAAGGGGGGGGGGGTGAAAAAGGCGTTAAAAGGCGTGTATATGAAGTAATGGGTTAACAGAAAATGATGAAAATACTTGAAATTACCCTAAATCGCGTTTTTCTATGTTTAAACATGGCCTGTCATATAAATTTGAAGAAAAATTGTTGTTTTGTAGATTTTTTTATTTTTTTCATTAACCCATTACTTCATGAGCATTTTGTGAAAAATGGCTGTTTTCATTGAAAAGTCTCCCGTTACAAGTTCAAATTGCTATAATACTATAAAAACTGCTTCAACACTAATCAAACTTGGCACAATTGTTGACTGGACCATTGCCCATGCAACAACATGCTCAGGCTTAAATTTTCTGTTACCATGGCAACGAGGGGACATCTCAAAATTGCCAAAAATCACTATTTTGCGTTGATTTTTTCCATCATAATTGATTTCAAAGTGCTGCAACTTCTCAATGGATTGAGATAGAGTCAAATGCTTTTCAGCGTTGGTTACACGTTACCTTATGATCAATCTGAGGTCATTTATAGCCTCTCACAAGTCCAAAATTTTCTTGGCGATGAGGGGGACTCCGCCCCCTTCAAACCCCCCAAACAGAAGGGGGCACATCACCCTTCTGGCCACCCCCTGATGTATCTTTTGGTTGGGGAGCCGCGCCGAAAAAGTGGTCACTTTTTTTTACAACATTTCTCAAACAAGAACAAGTGTTGGGGCCTAAATAAGGCATTTTCACCATTTGAGACAACAAAAAAAGGGGAGGGGGGGGTGATAAAGGCGTTAAAAGGCGTGTATATGACGTAATGGGTTAACAGAAAATGATGAAAATACTTGAAATTACCCTTAATCGCGTTTTTCTATGTTTGAACATGGTCTGTCATATAAATTTGAAGAAAAATTGTTGTTTTGTAGATTTTTTTATTTTTTTTCATTAACCCATTACTTCATGAGCATTTTGTGAAAAATGGCTGTTTTCATTGAAAAGTCTCCCGTTACAAGTTCAAATTGCTATAATACTATAAAAACTGCTTCAACACTAATCAAACTTGGCACAAATGTTGACTGGACCATTGCCCTTGCAACAACATGCTCAGGCTTAAATTTTCTGTTACCATGGCAACGAGGGGACATCTCAAAACAGCCAAAAATCACTATTTTGCGTTGATTTTTTCCATCATAATTGATTTCAAAGTGCTGCAACTTCTCAATGGATTGAGATAGAGTCAAATGCTTTTCAGCGTTGGTTACACGTTACCTTATGATCAATCTGAGGTCATTTATAGCCTCTCACAAGTCCAAAATTTTCTTGGCGATGAGGGGGACTCCGCCCCCTTCAAACCCCCCAAACAGAAGGGGGCACATCCCCCTTCTGGCAACCCCCTGATGTATCTTTTGGTTGGGGGCCGCGCCGAAAAAGTGGTCACTTTTTTTAACAACATTTCTCAAACAAAAACAAGTGTTGGGGGCCTAAATAAGGCATTTTTTCACCATTTGAGACAACAAAAAGGGGGGGGGGGGAAAAAGGCGTTAAAAGGCGTGTATATGAAGTAATGGGTTAACAGAAAATGATGAAAAATACTTGAAATTACCCTAAATCGCGTTTTTCCATGTTTAAACATGGCCTGTCATATAAATTTGAAGAAAAAATGTTGTTTTGTAGATTTTTTTTTTTTTTTCATTAACCCATTACTTCATGAGCATTTTGTGAAAAATGGCTGTTTTCATTGAAAAGTCTCCCGTTACAAGTTCAAATTGCTATAATACTATAAAAACTGCTTCAACACTAATCAAACTTGGCACAAATGTTGACTGGACCATTGCCCTTGCAACAACATGCTCAGGCTTAAATTTTCTGTTACCATGGCAACGAGGGGACATCTCAAAATTGCCAAAAATCACTATTTTGCGTTGATTTTTTCCATCATAATTGATTTCAAAGTGCTGCAACTTCTCAATGGATTGAGATAGAGTCAAATGCTTTTCAGCGTTGGTTACACGTTACCTTATGATCAATCTGAGGTCATTTATAGCCTCTCACAAGTCCAAAATTTTCTTGGCGATGAGGGGGACTCCGCCCCCCTTCAAACCCCCAAACAGAAGGGGGCACATCCCCCTTCTGGCAACCCCTGATGTATCTTTTGGTTGGGGGCCGCGCCGAAAAAGTGGTCACTTTTTTTAACAACATTTCTCAAACAAAAACAAGTGTTGGGGGCCTAAATAAGGCATTTTTTAACCATTTGAGACAAGAAAAAGGGGGGGGGGGTGAAAAAGGCGTTAAAAGGCGTGTATATGAAGTAATGGGTTAACAGAAAATGATGAAAATACTTGAAATTACCCTAAATCGCGTTTTTCCATGTTTAAACATGGCCTGTCATATAAATTTGAAGAAAAATTGTTGTTTTGTACATTTTTTTATTTTTCTCATTAACCCATTACTTCATGAGCATTTTGTGAAAAATGGCTGTTTTCATTGAAAAGTCTCCCGTTACAAGTTCAAATTGCTATAATACTATAAAAACTGCTTCAACACTAATCAAACTTGGCACAAATGTTGACTGGACCATTGCCCTTGCAACAACATGCTCAGGCTTAAATTTTCTGTTACCATGGCAACGAGGGGACATCTCAAAATTGCCAAAAATCACTATTTTGCGTTGATTTTTTCCATTATAATTGATTTCAAAGTGCTGCAACTTCTCAATGGATTGAGATAGAGTCAAATGCTTTTCAGCGTTGGTTACACGTTACCTTATGATCAATCTGAGGTCATTTATAGCCTCTTCTTAGCGATGAGTGGAACCGCCGCCCCCTTCAAACCCCCAAACAGAAGGGACATCTACCTTCTGGCAACCCCCTGATGAATCTTTTGGTTGGGGGCCGAGCCGAAAATGTGGTCATTTTTTGTAAACAACATTTATGAAACAAAAACAAGTGTTTGGGGCCTGAATAAGGCATTTTCCCACCATTTGAGACAACAAAAAAGGGGGGGATGAAAAAGGCGTTAAAAGGCGTGTATATGAAGTAATGGGTTAACAGAAAATGATGAAAATACTTGAAATTACCCAAAATCGCGTTTTTCCATGTTTAAACATGGCCTGTCATATAAATTTGAAGAAAAATTGTTGTTTTGTAGATTTTTTTATTTTTTTCATTAACCCATTACTTCATGAGCATTTTGTGAAAAATGGCTGTTTTCATTGAAAAGTCTCCCGTTACAAGTTCAAATTGCTATAATACTATAAAAACTGCTTCAACACTAATCAAACTTGGCACAAATGTTGACTGGACCATTGCCCTTGCAACAACATGCTCAGGCTTAAATTTTCTGTTACCATGGCAACGAGGGGACATCTCAAAATTGCCAAAAATCACTATTTTGCGTTGATTTTTTCCATCATAATTGATTTCAAAGTGCTGCAACTTCTCAATGGATTGAGATAGAGTCAAATGCTTTTCAGCGTTGGTTACACGTTACCTTATGATCAATCTGAGGTCATTTATAGCCTCTCACAAGTCCAAAATTTTCTTGGCGATGAGGGGGACTCCGCCCCCTTCAAACCCCAAACAGAAGGGGGCACATCCCCCTTCTGGCAACCCCCTGATGTATCTTTTAGATAGGGGGCGGCGCCGAATAAGTGGTAACTTTTTTAAATAACATTTCTCAAACAAAACAAGTGTTGGGGGCCTAAATAAGGCATTTTATCACCATTTGAGACAACAAAAAGGGGGGGGGTGAAAAAGGCGTTAAAAGGCGTGTATATGAAGTAATGGGTTAACAGAAAATGATGAAAATACTTGAAATTACCCTAAATCGCGTTTTTCCATGTTTAAACATGGCCTGTCATATAAATTTGAAGAAAAAATGTTGTTTTGTAGATTTTTTTTATTTTTTTCATTAACCCATTACTTCATGAGCATTTTGTGAAAAATGGCTGTTTTCATTGAACAGTCTCCCGTTACAAGTTCAAATTGCTATAATACTATAAAAACTGCTTCAACACTAATCAAACTTGGCACAAATGTTGACTGGACCATTGCCCTTGCAACAACATGCTCAGGCTTAAATTTTCTGTTACCATGGCAACGAGGGGACATCTCAAAATTGCCAAAAATCACTATTTTGCGTTGATTTTTTCCATCATAATTGATTTCAAAGTGCTGCAACTTCTCAATGGATTGAGATAGAGTCAAATGCTTTTCAGCGTTGGTTACACGTTACCTTATGATCAATCTGAGGTCATTTATAGCCTCTCACAAGTCCAAAATTTTCTTGGCGATGAGGGGGACTCCGCCCCCCTTCAAACCCCCCAAACAGAAGGGGGCACATCCCCCTTCTGGCAACCCCCTGATGTATCTTTTGGTTGGGGGCCGCGCCGAAAAAGTGGTCACTTTTTTAACAACATTTCTCAAACAAAAACAAGTGTTGGGGGCCTAAATAAGGCATTTTTTCACCATTTGAGACAACAAAAAGGGGGGGGGGGGGTGAAAAAGGCGTTAAAAGGCGTGTATATGAAGTAATGGGTTAAGTTATTAAAAATATCAACTAAAAATATCTAATACAAGCAGTCTTTAGGAATAGGAAAGGTATTTTTTGTTAACAGGTTTTGTCCTTCAGAAAAGATTTAGTTTGTAAAAGATGTATAATTAAACAAACTGGAAATGACATGGTTAGCAGCTGCCTTTTACGTTATATTTTTTGGAGAAAGTCTTCAAAACAGGCATGACTGCATAACAAATGCCTTCCAAAGTTTAAAATTCAATGCATAGCTGAATTTTTGTAAATTGTCCCAAAATGAAATGCAAGTATTTACATAGGAATATATCCTAAGGTACAATAAGTTGTTTACTTTCTCAAATCTGTATTTCCAAATCTTCTAGAATGTTTCTTCTTTTGTTTTTCTCTTCTTCTTCCTCTGCTTCTATCTCCCTGTTTCTCTAATTCATCTACTTCTTCTTCTGTCATTCCTACAAATTTACGACAGTCAAAAGCTTTATTGCCAACAGATTGATTTAACCAACCAGAAGCTATGTCAACAGATTGATATAGACACTATTAGACAGTCAAAAGCAATAAGTCAAAACTATTTTATTATCTATACTACTTATGCTTTAATTACCGGTATTCCAAAAATTTTCAATGATAGACAATCTACAACAAAAAAAGAAAATTTACAAGAATTTAAGCAATAAGAATCATGAAAGAAGCAACTTTATTTTTTTCTATCTATACCTTGGGCAAGTCTTTCTTTCCTACGTTTCAGTCTATCCTGAAGTTTCTGCCTCTGATCTTGTACAGAGTCACCCATCAACTTGCGTAGATTTTCCTGGTCTTTTAACAGCTCACCTGACAGATAAAACACTAACAATGTCAAGATACATGTACAAACAAATAATTGCCTTTTCTCTCTTATTTATACAAGTTCCAAAACCTTAATTCATAACACTAGTTAATAAATATATTTTATATCTTTATGTTATATTCACACAATAAATATCATATGCACAATTTACAATATTTTATTGCAAAGGAGACATGTCTCAGATGCCTTGCCATGCCTTAATGGATTTTAGGGCTCCAGTCATTGTAAGCTTCCAAGACAACTTCTTTTCTTTAAATGATAGAAGTGAGAGACATATGTTTGTAGTCAGTGCCCTTAAAGCCTAAGTAACTGAGTTACATTTACCACAACAGGTTTAACTAGACAAAATATGAAAATTAACACATTCCAGATATAATTTGGAAAGCATAGGGAAACCTTAAGTGATTTATATTAAAAGTAAAAAAATATGATGCAGTACATAATTAACTACCTAACTACATGTATTTCTAAAATATGAGAACAGTCAAAGCATTGTACATGTATTTTTTTACCTTAACCTAATGAATTTGAGTAATAAACAAATCCTGTTTAGAGTATAGAAAATATCAATTTTAGTAAAAGATTTTAATATCAAATACTAAGGTCAAAAGCTCAATAACATAGATTACAACAGTATATGAGAAGTATCTGCATAGACGGGCAGGTTAGGCTGGCCATAAACCTTTGCTGAAGTCATTGTTGTGGCTAGCTATGTAACATAGAGTTAAACAAAATAAAACAATTAAACAAACCAATTAGGGCATTTGCTTCATCTATCTTGCCAGCTTTGCGTAGTTGTCTCTCTTTCTTCTTTAACTTAAATATCCTTTTCTGTCTCTCTGTGTCTGAGAGACGATTCCACTCTGATTCTCCAAGCTGGCAATATAAATGTAATAAATTCAATATCATCACTTACAATATGCCTCACATTTGAGTTTATATGCAGTAGGAATATGGTGATAAATACTGCACAGTCTTTTTAATAGCACAAAACATGTAAATTATTACTCAAATCTTGAATCTTAAAATCTTAGTAAATTTTTCTCAAGTTTGATTTTCTTGAAATATTTTGGCTCGTCTGGCATGAAGCTTTAATTATATTAAACATTTACAAGAAAAATCTCTTTAACTAACTGACTAAAGTAATGATTTTTCAATTGACAGACCTCTTTCAGCAGGGCTTCAGCCAGCAGTTTATCTTTCAGAGCCTCATATTTGCTCTTAAGAGCATCAATGACCTCATCATCAGTGGTGCCATCTGTTGGATCAGGGGAGAGCACTACAAGCGCAATATTGTCAGCCATATTGGATTTGGTTTCTTCTTGAATCCTTTTTTCTGCTGACCTAATTCCATCATCATTCTATCAAAAAAGATATTAAAAGGTTTGACATAACTCTTTCCAAACATTTACAATATATTTGTTCTTTTATCTGAAGTTTATTTACTGCTACATGTACCTTTTATAAAAGTCTGATTCAATCTATGTTACATAACCTACAAAGTAATTTTCAATTTAACAAAACTAGCATGTAAAGGATTGAAAACATACAATTAATATGACTATTATTTATGACCAAGAATTATTTGTAATATATCTTGAAAAATACTAGTCATACCATAAAAATATGAAACTAGGCAAAGCCTAGGAACGAGAAAATCAAAAACTTTTTTTTTTTCATTTTTTGTTTTACATTTTTTGTTTTAAAGGTGTCATCGAATATTTCATGCACTGCTTCCACTTTCAATCAGAACAACTCGAGTATTCTTAAGCCAAAAATTTTGATAGTTCTGTTATCTGAATACCTAGACGATTATCAATGAGCCCGGGACCGTGCCCTTTGACACCCCTGTATAAAAAAAAAACTGGTACAGAAAATCATGCAGTACCGTTGTTGCAAGTCCTTTTATAAGCCTCTCAGCTTCTGAGTTCTGGTACTCCAATAAGAGGGCCATCAATGTACAGCAGACATGTTCATCTGTTACCTCATCATTCTCTTCAGACAGTTTCATTCTACAACCTTCTTTCTTGTATACTGTTGCCTCTGATAGAACTTCTAGATTTTCACTTCTCCTGTCTGAATCAGAAACAAATTCATTTTAGCAGGACATTTAGCCGAAGGTAAGTGTAAGGCACTATAAAAATCTATCTCAAACAAAAGATAACCCATAACATGCTGAATTCTTCAATGGAATTAACCAGCTTCATGGCAACATATATATCTATATAGAGAGGATATTGAATGAGTGAAGATTTTATACTTATTCTTTTGAACAAGTTGAATAAAATCATATTATGCGAGCCTCTGGCGACCAATATATTGTTTTATTTAATTTTACCCATGAAATATGGTGCTAATAGTATCAGTCAAATATATTTCATATTTTTTAAAAATAAATATGAAATATAAGTATGAAAGTGGGCGGAGTCAAAACTCATATTTATTTTAAGGGACTTCTTTTGCCATTTTGTTTGAAAAATCAGATAAATACAAAACAAATTTTTGTTGAATTTTGTTTTGAAAATTATCTAGAATGATAGAAAATGGTCTAACTAAGAGAATAAATCCAAACACCAATAGCTTTAATTCGTCATTAATGCTGAACAGACGTTTAAAGAGTTGTTTACGTGACGTCACAATGTAGCGCTAAATATCGCGTGCAAAACAAGACAATAATTATGTTACTGCGCGCTGTACAATTGCAGTTGCAGCAAGCAAGGTGGTTTGTAACCATTTTTCTTTGATAATGAAATTAAATAAAAAGGTTATGTTTTTCGTGAAATATGGTATATATTTTCACTCAACATGATAAAATGCCACATATTTTCATGAGCCGGGAATTCACTTGCCATCCCGGCTCATGAAAATATGTGGCATTTTATCATGTTTCGTTAAAATATATTCCATATTTCACTTAAACGAAAAAATATCCTCTTATTATTCAACAAGTTCAATAAATTTAGTATAGAGTCTACATGAACATAATATTCTATTTATCACATATCTACATTAGGAACAGTATACAATCTTCGTTGACACACCTATAGTGTAACGCTTAATTTGGCACTCTTTAATGCTATGTTTGTATATAACACAAATGATGTTATGTCAAAGTGTTATCACACTAGCGTAATATCGTTTTTGTTACATCATTGACTTTATTATACTCCTTGGCCATGTTTTATGTGATAATGAAAATAACTTAATGCAAAATATTGTTAAAGAAAAACAACAACTCACTCTGCACTGTTTTATTTCTGAGATTTTTGAGTTCCGTCATTTTCTTAAGTTGTTCCTGTTGTGTTGCCATAGAAGCAAGCTCCTTGGCTTCACCAAATTTATCAGTGTTCCACAGCAGACGACAAAATAGTTCCCTCTCCTTGATGTGCTTGGTTTCCAGTAAAGTCAATATATAATCCTGAAATAAAAAATATGGTATGATGTATCTGTGCAGTAGAACATACATGTATATACTGCTATAATAGCTTTAAGCAGCCTGACTTTTTCTTACCAACTATATAATGAATGCATATTTTCATATTTGTGTGGCATGACTAATTGATTTACTAATCTATACTCACCACATGTTGAATAGCAGATCTAGTATGGGGTGCCTCTGTTGTCAGACTGGATTGTCTCCCTTTCTCCACATCTACAATAGTCTTCTTGGCAAGTTTTATGTATCTTTCTGCATCTTTCTTAAGTCTAGAAAGTTTGAAATAATGATCATATACAATGTTATCACAGTGACCAATCAATTATCATGAACTTGAAAATCACAGACCGAATGATTTTTCTTATGGATGAAAGGAATAAGGAAATGGGGTTTGCATGACTTAAAATCAAGCCTTTATATATGTTTCATAATATTCTATAATGGATGCCTTCATGTTCATTAAACTGCTTATAATTCAGTAATTTGTAAGGCTATATTTTATTCAAACTCTATTTCTTTCAAGGCGTGTCCATTAGTATCTTATGCATGTATGTCTTTATTTTTACATAGAAAACTGTTGTTCTTAGCTAGAGAGAATGTAAGCGCATCATTAGATACAAGTTCAAAGTAAAATATTTACCTAAACTTAATTTCCTCTTGCTGTCTTTCCATTAGACCAACCATTGTTGCCGTGGTAACGAAAGCCTCTTCCTGACTGGCTAATAGAGCTTCTCTATGGTAACGTGCTAACTGTATCATACGTTCACTCTCACTAAAATGATCTTCAGATTGTCCTGTTACCATGGAAACAATACATTCAATAATTGAGCCGCGTCATGACAAAACCAACATAGTGTGTTTGCGACCAGCATGGATCCAGACCAGCCTGCGCATCCGCGCAGTCTGATCATGATCCATGCTGTTCGCTATCAGTTTCTCTACTTGTAATAGAGTTGGTAAACGAACAGCATGGATCCTGATCAGACTGGTACAGCATTCATGTCCTCTGGTATAATTTTACTAAAATACTATGGTTTAAAATCCTACAAAACAAATGCTTTTTTATTTAACTTTAAAATAATTCAATTCAAATATTGTTTTGACACCATAGTATACTATCATATCCCACCTTTGAGCATTCTATTCAATGCTATCCTCTCCTCCTCTAGTCTTGAATATAACTCCTTCAGTGGATTTTCTGGTTCCCCCTTTTTGCCTATTGCACCAGTATCTTCATCCATACTCAGATTACTGTGGTTACCTAAGAGACAAAGAGACAACCCAGAAGTGGTTTTGTAAATAAAAATAATATACACACTATTGTAACAAGAACCGGTTGAACCGGGTGATGCTCCCCGAGAAGGTTCTGGACACAGGAAAGTATAAAAAAAATGAACAAAGGGCAATAACTCCAAAAGTAGGCAAGACAGTGTTACAGTTCTTGTGCACTGCAAACCTACTTAATGAGATCTATCTACCTACAAAGTTTCCTGATGATATCAGAGTTATGTCCTGGGTAAAATTCAAAGTGTAAAAATGAACAAAGGGCAATAACTCCAAAATAAGACCAGGCTTTGTTTAGGTTCTTTAAGCATTGCACTTCTATCCAATTATATCTAGCTACCTACAAAGTTTTATGTTGATATCGCTAATAGTTTTAAAGTTATGTCCGGGACAAAGTTCAAAGTGTCAAAATGAACAAAGGGCAATAACTCCAAAAGTAGGCAAGACAGTGTTACAGTTCTTGTGCACTGCAAACCTACTTAATGAGATCTATCTACCTACAAAGTTTTATGTTGATACTGTAAAATCATTATTATTCGTGGGGCACGAATTTTCGTGGTTTTCGTGGGTAGGTCAATCCACGAATTTAAGATCCCACGAACTTTTATCCCAACAAATACTTCTTTTTATGTATTACAAACATGCGTCGGCTCTGTTCCGGCCGATAATTCGTGAAATGGATGTATATACAGACAGATAATCAGGTTAGTGACATATTAAATCCGTTTACAATATTTAAGACACTTGAAAGAAAACTCGACTATATGTCCTCAATTTACTGTAACAAATGTCGCATATACGTACTTGATCGTGATAGTCTACTAGGTACAAGAATACTTTACATAATCGAGTAAATACGGGAACCCAAGCAGTGCAATAATTAGCGCTAATAAAAATTGTCAGTTTGCTCTTATTTATAAAAAAAAAGTCTTTGATATTAATGTCGTAATTACACAAAACTATAAAAAAAATGCGATCGCTAAAACAGACTTATTGTACATTCTTTTGTCGTTTTAAATGATCAAGTTTATATGAATTTTAATCTGTATTTGTGCGAATGCTATTCCGTCAACATCAAAGACGCCACCGATTTTTACAAGATATAAAAAAACAAGATTCACACATACTCGTGTTATTTACCGAGATCAATTTTTATGCATGTTAGTTTACACAGTCGCTGTGACGTTGCGTATAGTTAAGTACTGTCAAATATGTTAAGACCAATTAAGGGTGTAAACTTACTCGCTGGTTCAAACCTGTCAGGTGTCGTATAAATTATGCGATGTTTACATCGGCGAATTACAGGGGCAGTGTGCATATCATGTCACATAAATGTGTTAATTGCAGTCAATTATCGGCAATAACTGTGCTATATTAGTTATGCCCAGAGGCAAGGATTAAATTTATTGACAAGCGCTGTGTGACAAGTAAAGATATGTACATGTTGTAAGTAAAATTGTTCGGCGATTAAGTTTAATATTATTTTGCATTAGCTAGGTAACTGAATTTTTTTAACAAGAAAATGAAAATCAACGAATTTAAGAACCCATGAAAATGCCCTATTTGATAAAACCACGAACTTTCATGCCCACGAATTTAAGTGAATTCGCAGTACCTCTTATAGTTTTAGAGTTATGTCCTGGACAAAGTTCAAAGTGTGAAAATAAACAAAGGGGGATAATATTAAACAAGAGGGCCATGATGGCCCTAGATCTCTCACCTGACCCATCAAACAATTATCTAGACAAGCATTCTGACCAAGTCTCATGACAGGTGAGTCAAAAATGTGACTACTACAGTGTTAACAAGGATTATCCATATTTGAGCAGTGTGACCTAGTTTTTTACCCAGGTGACCCATATTCAAACTTGACCTAGAAATCATCATAACAAACTTTCAGACCAATTTCCAGGATACTTGGATCAAAACAGTAGCAACTAGAGTGTTAACAAGAGTGTTAGCTCAGGTGAGCTAAAAATTAGGCAAGGCAGAGTTATGGTTATTGTACACTGCACACCTACTCAATGAGATCTATCTACCTACAAAGTTTCATGTTGATGCCTCTTATAGTTTTACAGTTATGTCCTGGACAAAGTTCAAAGTGTAAAAATAAACAAAGGGGAATAATTTAAAAATTAGGCAAGGCAGAGTTACAGTTCTTGTGCACTGCACACCTACTTAATGAGATCTTTTTACCTACAAAATTTCATGTTGATACCACTTATAGTTTTAGAGTTATGTCCCAGACAAAGTTCAAAGTGTAAAATAAACAAAGGGGGATAATTCAAAAATTAGACAAGGCAGAGTTACGGTTTTTGTGCACTGCACACCTACTCAATGAAATCTATCTACCTACAAAGCTTCATGTTGATACCTCTTATACTTTTCGAGTTATGTTCCAGAAAATGTTCAAAGTGTAAAAATAAACAAAGGGGGATAATTCAAAAATTAGGAAGGGCAGAGTTACAGTTTTTGTTCACTGCACACCTACTCAATGAGATCTATCAACCTACAAAGTTTCATGTTGATACCTTTTATAGTTTTAGAGTTATGTCCTGGACAAAGTTCAAAGTGTAAAATAAACAAAGGGGGGTAATTAAAAAATTAGGCAGTCCAGAGTTACGGTTCTTGTTCACTGCACACCTACTCAATGAGATCTATCTACCTACAAAGTTTCATGTTGATACCTATTATAGTTTTAGAGTTATGTCCCAGACAAAGTTCAAAGTGTAAAATAAACAAAGGGGGATAATTCAAAAATTAGGCAAGGCAGAGTTAGGGTTCTTGTCACTTCACACCTACTCAATGAGATATTTCTACCTACAAAGTTTCATGTTGATACCTATTATAGTTTTAGAGTTATGTCCTGGACAAAGTTCAAAGTGTAAAATAAACAAAGGGGGATAATTCAAAAATTAGGCAAAGCAGAGTTACGGTTCTTGTGCACTGCACACCAACTCAATGAGATCTTTCAAAGTGTAAAATAAACAAAGGGGGATAATTCAAAAATTAGGCAAGGCAGAGTTACGGTTCTTGTGCACTGCACACCTACTCAATGAGATCTATCTACCTACAAAGTTTCATGTTGATACCTCTTATTCTTTTAGAGTTATGTCCCGGACAAGAAAAGGGGATGGACGGACGGACGGACGTTCCTACTGAGTTGACATTATGGGGTTTTTTTCTTTGATCTCCTTTGATCTCTAAAACCCCATAAGCAACGTATTTGCACCCCATAAGCAACCTTTTTCCTCACAAGTACCGTCTATACGGATTGAACATGGATATTCACCCCACATCGTCATTTCAGTGAGCTCGGAAAGACGGACGGACGGACAAGGCGGCGACTATATGCTCCCCCGAAATTTTTCGGGGAGCATACAAAATTGACCTAGTCATGATTTTTAACAAAGCATAAGAAAAACAGTCAGAGCATATTTTATATATAACCAGAAGACAACTTATGATTTAACATTATTAGCAAAAAATGGGATATTTTTAGCAGAAATTAACAAGTCATATAACATAAGATGAGACAAAATCTTGAAGTTGATGAGCCATAAGGGGTTTTTAATCATTGATCATATTTTGTTTGAATTCTATTCCACACTGACAATATTGATCTTTCAGCTTGTGCTGGTTGAGCACGACCCTAGGGTGCCCCCAAGTTTAGAAAGTGCTCTTCCACCTTGAAACCTGCAGTTTACTGTAAGTAATAGTGCATGTGTGTATGGGTGGGGGGGAGTGGCTCAGATAATTATGAGCAAAAGGCAAATCATCAAACACATATTCAAGATATCTGTTATCCGTCTTTAAATATTACCAAACATGTAGAAGAAACTACTTACCAATAACTTGTTGACCTTTGACCTTATTTCTAAACACATGTGGACATATACCCATAATCTGTAGCACAGTATCTTTAAGATGGAAACCTTCACCCAACAGTGATGGCATAACCTGACCTGGAATAAAACAGAATGACAGTATTCTGAAATAATCTAGGTTGAGAAGTAACATGTTTGATACATTCAAAGATATATTGTATATACATTTAAAGGCTTCAATGCTATCAACTATTTTACGATTGCATACTGTTACACTCATGATAAAAAAGTTAACATCTTTAAACTTTACGTTGTTGACAAGAGGAACAAAATTGCTCATACATGCATTTAAAGTGACAATATGCCAATCCATGGATAGATATAGAGTGAGCAGGTGAAAGTCAAAATAAGTTAACATTTTCTCATAATTCCTTTCAACTTCATAATTTACTTCACATGAACCATAATTAACTCAATAAGCCCTGCAAAATGTGTGTAATTATCCGTTGAAATGTATCTGTAAATTTCAATTTACCGGTATAAAAAAGTGGGGCAGACTTTTTATATATTTAGGTAGATTTATTTTTTACCCAAAACATTTTCAAATATCATGTGTTGGTCAATCACCGTTATAACAACCAGTTTATTGAAATATATAGTCAATTAAAGTCAATTTGACTATGAAAAAAATGAGCATAATGTCACTTTATTTCAAAGCAAGTAAAATGAGAATTTTTTATTTCACTGCTTTTATAAAAACTGATACTGATACAAGTTTTTGAAGTATAAGATAGAAGTCAGATTAATAAACAAGGGCAATAACTGTCTTGATATAATTTTTAACTACCATAACATTTCTAACGACCAGCACTAGTATTGTTCAATGAAACCATTAATGATAAAACTCAAACAGTTTCAAAATTTGGATTTTTTGTTGTGTGGAAGCTATCCAGCTAGCTTATGGAAGGTTGGTGGATCTACTCAGGTGCCTGATTATACCTGAAATAATGCCTATGGAGGCATCTGAGGTCTTCCTTCACCAGTACACTTGGTTTGATGTAAAACCCAACAAAACAAACAAACTTTCTCATAAAAAAAAACCAAAAGATTAAGTATGAATATAAGCAACAAGGTACAAAGATGTGAAGTTTAATTGCTAAATAAAACATACTTCACATCACAATGTACAATAAATCCAATTAAGACATACCAATCTTAATTTGTTCCACTGCCTGAGCATCAAGCGTCATCAACTTATGTTGTTTTTCATTCGGAGACAGCTCTTCCCATTGGTCAGTTCCCATTCTTATTCTGATACAGTCAACCAATAGTTTTTGTCGTATTACTGTGTACTTATTTTCAAGTGCCTGGAAATGTACAATCATAGTAGTAAAGATTAAACCTGTTGTTATGTTATGAATATGTTTGGTCCAGTAGTAACAATGATAAGACCAAAATTCTAATAAATGCTGGTTCAGTCCCATTAAGAAAAGTATAAACATACACCAAGTCCCAAATTAACTTACATGAATAAGAACTAGTTCAACATAATTAACTAAAACTTTTTTTAAGGAAATTTTTAAACAGGTACTTAACCAAAGTGATTATAAATTATCTCTATGTATATTAATAAGAAAATCATTATAGACATTAGTTCCTCTCTTAATTGCAGTGGATTTACCTGGGTAACTGGTCATAATAAAGAAACCCCTGCCACAGTGCAATTTCATGTTTTTCAATTACTTAATCCTCTAGCAAATTTGACACAATCTACTTAGCCCAAAGCATGTGGGCATGACATGAATATTACCTATGTTACCTGGATAACAAAGGTTGTTTTTTTACCTTGAGTAGTAGATCATCAGTGGCCTCCCCTTGGTATCTTGTAAAGACAGCAATAACGTTCCAAGCATTACCAAGTCTACGATTGTTGATTTCTCTACTTAGACTGGTTCGGATATCTTCCTCATTCTACAAAACATACATGTATACCAACATCATATATGTATTGAAATTTACAGGAAAACATACATAGTATGCAATGAGGTTACATTTTGTTTGAAAGAAGTTGTGTCATTTCTTGCAAGTATACAAGTACCAAGTTTCAGCAGGAAAGAAATTAAAAACAAATTACCAAAATTAGCTTTGTTGCAGTAGATTTACCTGGGTAACTGGTTATAATAAAGAAACCCCTGCCACAGTGCAATTTCATGTTTTTCAATCACTTAATCAGATACACAGGTTGAGATTCCAAGGAAATACGAAAGGAGACAGCATTTTGTCCTCCCTATATTATTAATAAATTATCACTACATACATAGCTGGAACACCAATCAACTGATAACTGGATGTTTTGAACTTTGCACAAACCAAGGACCATTATAGATTGCCTTTTGGGAAGATTCAGGTATTAACTTAAACAGTTATTTGATAGCAACAAATCAAGAAAACCTATATAATCTCAAATACATGTACATGATCCATAAGAATCATTGTGAATGTCACTTAAATGGAACATATTGTATTTTGTTAATTCCAGTACTCTTTTCATACTCCAGTTTATTAGTAAAGTCAAAAAGAATTACCATGTTTTCAATATGTTCCAAGGTCAATGCCACTTCCCGATCTTGTTCCTCTTGAAGTTCTGCCAGCAGAACAACAGCTATGGCCTCCATATTGTTCGTGTTTCCCGATACTGCAAGCTGCTCCTTCACACTGACTGCCCTCAATGCCGCAGCCTCTTCTAATATACTCACATGTTCCTCTCTATCCTCTATATAAACAATAAAAGTTTCTCTTTATGTCTATTACATTTAAGCCGCGTCACAACAAAACCAACATAGTGCGTTTGCGACCAGCATGGATCCAGACCAGTCTGCTCATCCGCGCAGTCTGATAAGGATCCATGCTGTTCACTTACCAACTCTATTACAAGTAGAGAAACTGATAGCAAACAGCATGGATCCTGATCAGACTGCGCTGATGAACAGGCTGGTCTGGATCCATGCTGGTCGCATATGCACTCTGTTGGTTTTGTCATGACGCGGCTCATTTCTTATAACTTCATTTTTGTCACTTTTATCACATGTTATTTAATATAGAGGAGAATACTCCTGTTTTCATTTCTAATAAAAAAAAAGTCCTCAAAACTTTTGAAGTACATTCTTTGGACATGATTTAATGCTATAATATAGAATAAAAATTAAAACAAGAGGGCCATGATGGCCCTGGATCGCTCACCTGACACAAACGCATCCAAGCAATGTCTTAAACAAGCATCATGGCCAAGTTTGATGACAACTGAGTCAAACATGTGACCTCTAGTGTGTTATAAAGATTTTTTCATATTTGGGCAATGTGACCTAATTTTTGACCGGACACAACCCATATTAAAACTAGACCTAGAAATCATCAAAACAACCTTCCTGACCAATTTCCAAGAAATTTGGATCAAAACTGCAGCCACTAGAGTGTTAAAAAGATTTTTCTATTTTTAGCTCCTGTGACCTAGTTTTTAACCGGACATGACCAATCTTAGCACTTGACCCAGAAATCATCAAAACAACCTTCCTGACAAATTTCCAGAATATTTGAATCAAAACTGCAGCCACTATAGTGTAAACAAGCTTTTTCTATTTTTAGCTCCTGTGACCTAGTTTTTGACATGAGATGACCCATCTTCGAACTTGACCCAGAAATCATCAAAACAACCTTCCTGACAAATTTCCAGAATATTTGAATCAATACTGCAGCCCCTAGAGTGTTAACAAGCTTTTTCTATTTTTAGCCCCTGTGACCTAGTTTTTGACCGAAGATGACCAATCTTCAAACTTGACTTAGATATCATCAAAACAACCTTCTTGACAAATTTCCAGAATATTTAGATGAAAACTGCAGCCTCTAGAGTGTTAACAAGCTTCTTTTTTTTAGCTCCTGTGACCTAGTTTTTGACCTGAGATGACCCATCTTTGAACTTGACCTAGAAATCATCAAAACAACCTTCCTGAAAAATTTCCAGAATGTTTGGATGAAAACTGCAACCATTAGAGTGTTAACAAGCTTTTTCTATTTTTAGCTCCTGTGACCTAGTTTTTGACCAGACATGACCCATCTTCGAACTTGACCTAGAAATCATCAAAACAACCTTCCTGACAAATTTCCAGAATATTTGAATCAAAACTGCAGCCACTAGAGTGTTAACAAGCTTTTTCTATTTTTAGCTCCTGTGACCTAGTTTTTGACTGGAGATATCCCATCTTCGAACTTGACCTAGAAATCATCAAAACAACCTTCCTGACAAATTTCCAAAATATTTGGATGAAAACTGCAGCCCCTAGAGTGTTAACAAGCTTTTTCTATTTTTAGCTCCTGTGACCTAGTTTTTGACCGGACATGACCCATCTTCAAACTTGACCTAGATATCATCAAAACAACCTTCCTGACAAATTTCCAGAATATTTGGATGAAAACTGCAGCCACTAGAGTGTTAACAAGCTTTTTCTATTTTTAGCTCCTGTGACCTAGTTTTTGACCGGAGATGACCCATCTTTGAACTTGATCTAGAAATCATCAAAACAACTTTCCTGACAAATTTCCAGAATATTTGGATGAAAACTGCAGTCTCTAGAGTGTTAACAAACTTTTTCTATTTTTAGCTCCTGTGACCTAGTTTTTGACCCAAGATAACCCATCTTCGAACTCGATCAGTATTTCATTGTGACAAACATTCTGACAAAGTTTGATAATGATCCAATCAAAACTGTGACTGCTAGACTGTTAACAACCCAATTGTTAAGAGTGTTTACAAGCTTTTTCTATTTTTAGCTCCTGTGACCTAGTTTTTGACCGGAGATGACCCATCTTCGAACTTGACCTAGATATCATTAAAACAACCTTCCTGACAAATTTCCAGAATATTTGGATGAAAACTGCAGCCTCTAGAGTGTTAACAAGCTTTTTCTATTTTTAGCTCCTGTGACCTAGTTTTTGACCCGAGATAACCCATCTTCTAACTCGATCTGTATTTCATTGAGACAAACATTCTGACAAAGTTTGATGATGATCCAATCAAAACTATGACTGCTAGACTGTTAACAACCAAATTGTTGACGACGCACGACACCGGACATAGCCCCATCACTATACCTCACCTTGACCACTTCGTGGTCAGGTGAGCTAAAAAAAAACAACATATATACATGTAAATATAAGTTATAATGACATGAAGACTTGGTATCTTACTCTTACCAAACATACAATCTATTACTTATATAAATACCTAAATGAACTTAAATACTTCATGGTATCATAAAGGTTACAATTCTTTTATGAATCAAAATTAATTATCTAAAAAAATTATTTCAAATATATAGGAATGAATGATAAATTCAATCTATCTATATTTCTTTATCATGAAAAACTTGATTTAGCACTTTAGATCACTTTAATAGAATATTTGCATTATTGATATACAAGTAAAAATTAACTGATATTTTCTATAAATTTATGCTTTGGCATCATAAACTGTTATGGGTAAAGGCTCATTTATTCAATAAACTAACTCTTAATAACTAACTAACTAACCTGGGTTTGTGAGATTCAAGTTATGTCGTTTTCCTTGCAGTTCTGTCAACCTTCTCTGACGCTCATCTTCCGACATTGTTGCCGCGGCTTCCACCAGATCATCTATACTTTCATCCTGCAAATGATTCAGTATTACCTCCCTTTCATCACCATGTCGTTTCAGCATTTCTCGTACATACACAATTTGTAGTCCTGTTAAATCACCAGATGCAGGTATTTTGTCCTTGGAGACCTCTGGTTCCTTTGTGAACTCCTCGTGTTGTTGCAGACGGAGTCTTCGTTGTTGTACATGTTTCCGTGACAACTCTCGTTGTCTGTCAATATCACTGTCATGTCTGTAATATAAAACATACTTAAGATTTGGATAGCATGAAATATTATTATTATTATTTTTTTTTTTTAAACGCAACTTGCTGTAAATTATAAAACAATTGATTTTAATACTTTCATTAAATGCAAACATCTAAATCTTTTGAATCTAGGACAACCCCCAACATCAAAACCCCACACCTCAAAATTTTCTAGAGTTGACAAAACACCACACATGACACATATAAAGCAGACACTGTTTATTTTCTATTTTAAGTGTGATCTTTTTGTTGCTATTGTTGAGTTTTTATATTTACATAATTATCACCGTTAAGGATATGATAACTTTTTGGCTTTACATTTAGAGAAAGACTCCATGCCTTATCTGGCACTTGCAACAACCAACTCAGCATCTATGTGCAAGCTGGACCTTACATGAGATAGATTTTGAAGGATCTAGTCTAACTAACTTTTAATCAAATATTTGAAAATTACACAATTATGCAATTATTTAAGTTGTGAGAGTGTAGCATATACCTCTGTGTTAGTGTATCTTTCACTCTCTCCATCAGACCTATACTGAGAGTAGCTGTCTCAAAATCTTCCTCTACCTCTACTCTGTATGCTTCAATCTACAAATAAAATTAGATTGTTTTACTGACTATTCTGACACAAGATTCATAAAACTAACTATGTAATTTGATAATTTTTTTTATTACATACTTTCAAAAACATGTGTTGGTTCACTTTTGTTTACTTCATAAGCATCATTTTCTGCAAAAACATGTTTTATGAAAGGATTTCCAAGGAGATCATATAACTTACTGATATGATTTCTTTAAAAGGTTGATATATGGGACATGTAATAAGACCAGGTAAAAATATAACATTGGTACATACAACCCTTGTGTCTTTAGTTAATAAAACAGAATTTATTTTAGTTTGATCATATAAGCTTAAAGACACTCTGACTCTGTTCTCATGAAACAAAGCAGAACTAGGCTTAGAGTGTAAAGTTTCTTGCTCAAGGAAACAAAGGCTTGTCACTGATGGGCTTTGAACCCCACATAGCCAATAATCCTTAGATTTTAAGTCTGATGCATTAACCACTCGGCTATGCCTGCAGGTTTAAAAAAAGTATGCAAGCCGATATTTTCTCATCAGATTTTCAGATGCTATGACATTACCTTTTATCTCAACAATCCTCATTCTTTTCATTCTTAAACTCAAACTTTTTCGCTTCCGGAGAATGTAACCATGACAACAGATATTCTTTCTCATTATCAAAGCGAGGCATTAGGTCAGCAAGCAGGTTAATAACTTTGTTATTGTCTACTGGATCTTCATCTGAAAAAATATAATCAATGCTGTTTTTCAAGAACAATCATTGACATAATGCAGATTTTCATTTAAACAAGGTTCATTTTAAATCTCTGCTGACTTGAATAGCAAATTATCTAAGGCTCAAAATTTAATGTACTTGAATTCAAATCTAGTAAAGAGATACTTGTCATATGTAGACTGTTAATTTTGCCATCAAGTTGTATGAACATGGAAATAAAATGGTGACATTCACTGACAATTCATTTTTATCATTCGGCTTTTATATGCAGATGGTAATAAAGCATTGGTATCAAAGTGTTATGCAACTTATAAAGAACTTCAAATGCAAATTTTACATTTATAGGTACCTAACAGCTTATCTTATTTATGAAAATCATCAAGCGTTTATTGTCTTCTTTTCACAGTTACAAGTATAGAAATTCATATTTAACACAGTCACATTTACAGTCTTGATACAAAATAAATTAACTCACCTAGTTTCTGCTGTTGTTTTCTTCTCACATACTCCGCCTTATCTTCACCAATCAATGTACGCAATGCTGGCAATATCTGAAATTCACAACAACCAAGTTTTTAACTTAAAACCCGAAAGAATGTTGCATAAAAAGTATAAGTTCAGCTGCAGAAAGCCTTATCAAATTCAGGTAGTAGATATGTACCGTAATGTAACAACTTATAACTCATCAATATTTCTTTTGCAAACTTGTTTTTAACAGTGTTGCTCTAACATTTATATTACCAGCACTCCTGAAATCTTTACCAGTCTAGTCTCCACAATTACTAGACAACTTTGCCTCAGAGAGTATTTACAAAAGACTTTAAAGCCAAGGCACAATGCTCCAATACTTGTTTGTATATGTATGTACAATCTGAAAGCTGTTCCTGTAGGGACAAACACAAGATGTTGAGGTTTTGCCAGTTCTTCTTAAGAATCATCCTCAGTAACCCAGGTTGTCTCTCATGACTCAAACAAAATATAAAATTTTCACTTTATGCTTTAATGTCATTCCACTATAGGGATCACCCTATTGCAGTATTTGTCATGAAATTAAATTAAATTTACCTTAGCTTTAGCTTTAGGACCAAGTAATGTCTCCATTTCTAACAATTTCCCCTCACTTCTGAGGAGCTTCTCTTGTTTAATGATCTCCTTCATAGCAGCTTGTTTCTCCTCTTTGGAAAGGCTACAAAAATGAAATACCATACATGACTGTGCAAGAAACAATTAATTGACACTCTTGATAAAGCCAAATAAAATATGTCACCTAATTACATCAGCAAAGACACCATATCTCTGAAGACTGAGAATTTTGTTAGTTCCAGCCCTGGGTATGACACATGTAAGTTTTTCTTCCATTAAAATTACCTTTAAATTTCTGTAAAGATATATCCTTCTCTAGAATAATTTTGAATTTGCTGTCTTATAATGACATCATACAGACTTTATGTAAAAAGTGTATCAAAAATTAAAAAAACAGAATACATACCTTCTCCAATCCATCTGGTCTTTCAATGACATCAACAACATTGTCTTTCTCAGTCTCTCATACTTACTTTCCAATGCCTGTAATTTTGTTTTGTAAAGTTTTGTAATTCAGAAACTATATACATGTACAGTTGACTCTCGATAACTCGAAATCCAAGGGACTGGGCATTTTACTTCGAGAGAAACGGAATTCGAGTAACGTGGATCTGCCGCCATTACATTGACATTCGTACATGTATATACATGTACCTGATTGAATGTGCAAAGAAGTATGTTTGTTATTGTTGATAACGGCAATGCTGCAATATTAAACCGTTGAAATGACTGTAAATCACTTACAAATACAAATTATAAATTAACAACAAGATTGCATTTGAGAAAAATGCTATGCCACCGCATTAATACAACACTAAATAGTAGTGTAGGAACAGATTTTTTTGTTTCTATACAATTTTGAAGATTGTCATAATGCATAGATCCCTGACCAATCTTATTCTTATTATGAGATTAGTGGTTAAATCTGTTGTTAACTCAAGAAAAGACCGGAGTAGGAATATATCAATGCACTCGAGTCTAGTGAATTTGGGTGGTGAAGGTCATATTTCACACAGCCTAAATTTCATGACTACATCAAAGGACAACACAGTAAGACACTTTGTCAAAATCTAGGTCAGCTGAAATCAAAGTTCACTTTACATCTTAATGATTTAATCTGTGCACATGGTTCAAATTTCATAGCTGTACATCAAACGACAAGAAAGTAGGTCACATCATCAAAATCTAGGTCACCTGATATCAAAGTTCAATTTTACAACTAAAACTGTGCACATGGTCAAAATTTCATCGCTGTACATCAAAGGACAAGAAAGTAGGTCACTGTCCTATTGGGCAAGGCAAAATTTTGGACCCAAGGGTTTAATTCAAAACAATCTTGATACAGTCCACCAAACAACATTTCAAGTCAAATATCTAAGCTGTAGCTTATGTACATAATGAAAATCAATGACACCCGGGCAAAACCAATTATGACCCCAGGGCTATAATATGAAAAAATCTGGGTAAAGGTTCACTTTGCAAAGTCTCATGCCATATATTTAACCTCTAGCCTTTGTCAATTCAGAGAAGAAGATTTTTCAATTCAGAGAAGAAGATTTTTTAAGTTATTACTTTATACATATAAGGAAAACTATCGCCTCTTGGGCAGGGCAATCTTAACACTAGGGGGCATAATTAAAACAACTTTAGTACAGGACCCATAGATGATATTATATACCAACTATCAAAGCTCTAAGCCTTGTTCCTTCAGACAAGAAGATTTTTTTAATTTTTTAATATATGTACATAGTGAAAATCAATGACCCCAGGGGGTGGGGCCAATTTTGACCCCAGGGCTATAATTTGTACAACCTTGCTAGAGGTTCACTACATAATGTTTCATGCAAAATATCTTAACTCTTGTCTTTGTAAATTTAGAGAAGAGGATTTTTTAAGTTTTTACTATATACATATAAGGAAAACCTATGGCCCCTTGGGCAGGGCAAATTTTGACACTAGAGGCAAAATTTGAACAACTTTGGTAGCGTACCTAAAGATGATATCATTTAACAAATATTAAAGCTCTAAGCCTTGTACCTTCAGACGATAAGATTTTTTGATTTTTTACTATATGTATATATTGAAAATCAATGACCCCGGGGTGGGGCAATTTTGACCCCAGGGCTCTAATTTGAACAATCTTGCTAGAAGTTTACTTCACAATGTTTCATGCAAAATATCTAACCTCTAGCATTTGTCAATTGCTAGAAGAAACATTTTTACTATAAGTTTTTACTATAAGGAAAACCAATGACCCCCAGGGCGGGCCAATTTTGACCCCAGGGCTATATTTGAACAATCTGGGTAGAGGTCTACCAGACAATGCCTTATGCAAAATATCTAAGCTGTAGGCTTTTGGGTCTTTACAAGAAGGTATTTTAAGTTTTTACTATATGTACATAAAGTGAAAATCAATGACCCCCGGGGCGGGGCCAATTTTGACCCCAGGGCTATAATTTGAACAATCTTGGTTAGGGTCTACCAGACAATGCCTTATGTAAAATATCTAAGCTCTAGGCCTTTTGGGTCTTTACAAGAAGGTATTTTAAGTTTTATTATATCTACATATAGTGAAAATTAATGACCCCCGGGGCGGCGCCGATTTTGACCCCAGGGCTATAATTTGAACAATCTTGGTAGAGGTCTACCAGACAATGCCTTATGCAAAATATCTAAGCTCTAGGCCTTTGGGTATTTCCAAGAAGATTTTTTAAATTTAGTCTTATAATTCCTTTTGGTTGCCATGGCAACCAGATTTCTGCATGGAATGAAATTCTTTGAACAACTTTGGAAGCCCTTCACCCAAGGATCAATCCTGCCAAGTTTGGTTGAAATTGGACTAGTGGTTTTTCACAAGAAGATTTTTTAAGTCCACTATATAATCTATATAACACACACACACACACAAACAAACACACACACACACAGGTGAATCGCTATATGCCACCGCATCGCAGATGCTGCGGTGGCATAAAAAATATATTATTCAAAATTTAATACATGGATATTAATAGTGAAATATAAACACAAGCATTCGTAGCAATGACATAAATGCAACACAATTTATCTAATGTTTGATGTAAATTGATCATCGGACTACAACAAAAGTAGCAACTATCGTGAACCGGAAGTACATATTAATGTATGCAATATGACGGAACATTAATTATACAAATGTCATTTACGTTGAAAACAGGCAGGCACAATTAAATTAATTAAATCTTGAATTACTGATCTAACTGTTAAAACTAATTAAGTCCTAAATCCGATTAAAGCCACTTTCACGACGTGCTAATAATACATGATGACCGGCAATTAAAATTACTATGAAACATGTGAATCACGAGTGACAACATCTCAACTTGATGTTGCCGACCTTTGATCAGTCGGCTGTTAAAACTTCGACTAATTAATATGAAAATATGTTGGACTTTAATTGACGGGACCAAATTTTCTTTTCGACTAAACAGGAGTCTCGGTAAGTCAAAATTTGACCTAAGCGGAGTTAAAATACAAAGATAAAGAAGGAAATTTGACGGGACTTCAGAAATTCTTCGACTTACGCGGAATTTTGAGTAAAGCGATTTTGACTTATCGAGAGTCAACTGTATATCATGACTAAATTGCTCCAATATTCTATAAAATCAAATCTATTTTTTTCAAAATAGCACATAAAAAAGTTTTTTTAGTTTTTGATTTTTTATAAATATACATTTTCATGAACATGTTGCCTTGAAGAAAACAATTTATGTTAAGTTTCATAAAAGTTGTAAAAATGTGCCCTTTTTATTTTACGTAAATACGTAGGTTTAACACATTTACATATACTCTTTAAAACAATAGATAAACCCAGACTAATACTCAACAGACTAAATACTCAACTAAAACCAAAGTTGAGGGTTTAAGAGTCACTTAAAACCAGCATGTCCAAAGAATGAAAGTCATGAATTCAAATGCCAAGCTCCCAATGCTCAACAATATTAGTCAAGTTGGTCTATCCGCCGCCATTAGACATTATGCCAGGTAAGCTCCTTTCTGTACAAACCTTGAGATAATTTCCTCATCCTCCTCCTGCTGACGTCTAGTGTACCTACGCATCACATACAGGCAAGTTTGGGTCATAGTGTTTCCTCTATCCTAGCTGTACCCACTTGTTTAAACCAAAAACACTTTGATATCTCAATCAGTACCCTGATATAT